TAAGCTGGCTATGTTTTCTGTCTAGCCACTTAAATTTAAACTTTACTTTGAATTCTCAATTTAGTAATTAACTCTGTTTGATTAACAATCACACTTAAGTGATTGGCAAGAAATATGCTTTGGAAATGTCATTTTTATACGAAACCTTCTAAAAATAAACATAAAGTTGTATGGCTGTTTGTTTTTGATCTCTTGCTCTATTTCTTATTCAATCAATAAAGGGATTAAGTCGTGTAAGTCTTGTAAAACATTTGTGATGGTCTACTGAAAGATGTAACCAATGGTAAAATTATTGAGTTACGTTAAATCTAAATAAATATCTAAGTAATTTACCCATTGGCAGAATCATCACATTTATGAAAGGACCACAGTTTTCCGAACACATTCTTTTCCCAGAATTCATTCTTTTTCCAATTAGGACTTTTTAGATCTCTGAAGAATGAAGTCTTCTTGCCTCGATTTTTAAACAAATCTACGACGTACCATCTGGAAAACATTTCTTTCCCATACAATGAAGACACCTTAAAAATAGGCTGATACAAGAGAAACCACCTTTCCCTTATAAAATGAGGACATGCCTTTACCTCCCCTCACTTTTTGACTCTTCCACTCACTGCTCCGACCATCTTATTTTGACACAATCATCTTAGCCTTCTTCTTATGCTGTTATTCCTCTTGTGTGTCTATACCCCTTCCCCATATATTGGAAGCTTGTATGAGCACAGCCTTGTTCACCTTGTCTCTGTTACTATTTCGTATGTCATTTACCTGTTGTCAATATCAATGATCCCCATTCTGTAATTGTAAGGTGCTACGGAATTTGTCAACACTATATACAAATTAATAGTAGAATAATGTGACAGACCTCTCTGTCTTTGAATTACTTTTATTTCCCCTTGGTTCGTCTGTTTGTTTAGCTATTTCCCTGACCGTACGGCCCCTACGTTTTATTCCCTTTTTACGAAAGAACTGCCGAACGGCCGGCCACTCAGCATGGAAGTGTGCTGCTTGTTAACCTCTTGGCCTCATTAGAATGTTGTTGTTAACCGCAGCCACTACCTAATTGTTGAATGTCGGCTGGGTGGTCATTCGTATGAACGAAGACGTGGCGGCGGCCATCTTGGACATACGAATGCCCAGGAACGATTCCATGGAACTGAAAACGGATCCTATACTGCTCAGGTGGGAGTGTTTATACCTAAATGTGGTTTGTTACTGTACGAATTTGTCACAGTGTCCACCTGGTGGGAGACCTGCATAAAAGCCGGGCAGGTAGCCTAGATTAAACAGATTCCTGCTTGACCATCAATACAGAACCTCATCTCGTACTTGGGGAGATTATTTGTATGGTTTTCCTGTTCGGCTGTTTGGAGTGTGGATTATTCGTATGCTTTCTGGTTCAGCTGATTAGAGTGTTCGGTAGATGTCTTGACATTCGGGAAGGGAATATCCTAAACATCTTTAACCCCGTCAACACTCGGGGTACCGTTACAAATAATAATAATAATAAGACATTTACATTTTTTTTTTTTATTCATTCATTATTTGCAGAAAATCTTTGCTGATTGACTAAAAGCGATAGTAAGTAAAAACCACTTACATCAGTCTTTAACAATTTGCGCAGCAAGTTAAAAATTAAATTTTCTGTAATATTTCTTTAAAATAAACAATGATTTTCTAACATTCGATGCTCTTTGATTATGCGATAGTTTTTATTCCCGTTAGAATGCCAAAGTTATTATGATTGAGGGCATTCATTTCAGTAACATTTGAAAGGCTACATAAAAATCTGTGTTTATGTCAACCAATCAATTGAAGTCTAGTTAGTCTGTGTCTTTTATTCCTTTAAGCCTCTAGGGTTTAAATACATGTCAGGATCAACATATTTAGAATTTATTTGCTTTGCCACTAGTCTTGAAGGCGTTAATAGACCTTGTTTGGGAATTTTGGTGTCTATAGAATTAAAACAAAATTAACCAGACATATAGAATTTACATTGCAATATGCAATATGTTGGTTCCTTATGTATGGATAAAAAAAAATTACATTGTTGGAACTACCAACAAGCAACAGGCTTCCATGCTGAGGTGGCCCATCGGGAACCCCATGGACTTAAGGCCTCTCGATGGGTATGTGTCATTAGCGGCCGGGTCATTCACTGCTGCCCCTTTATTATTGCATCGCTGGGAGAAAGTGAGTGATGTCCCTTCCTCCCAGCTAGCAGACTCAGACTCAAGGGAGGAGAAGTCAGAAAGGAGAGGGGCATGCACTGGGAGTCCCTAACTCTCTGCAGCTTCAGACAGTAGACTTGACCCTAGAGAAGCCACCGTCCTGTTCCCAAAGGGTAGGAAACTGGGTGGTGGCTACAATTTTGTACATTATAACTAATATATGTGTCTGTGTATCTGTGTCAGTGTGTGTATCTGTGTCTGTATATCTGTATGTGTGTCAGTGTGTGTATCTGTGTGTCTGTATGTATATGTAAATCTATGTGTTTCAGTGTGTATCGGTGTGTTTGTATATCTGTATGTGTGTCAGTGTTTCTCTCTGTATGCATGGGCACCCGGCAGCCGGCTGACATCATTTGTAAATAGGTCAAAGAGTAAAAATCTTCCCTACTGATTTCCAAAAAGCCTGTAAGGGTCACAGTTATTCAAATAATGCCAATGTAATAGAACCAAAGTATTCACATATTCCTTTGAAAGACTACCTTAAAGTTACATTTGTATCAGTGAGTGTATCTTTGTGTCTGTTATGTCTGATAACAGCTAAGTTACAACAGAATACAGTCTCTTAATCAGCAAGTATTTATTGTTCACAACTAATAATGTCCAATTCCTTTTCCTGATGTACATATCCCTCCGGTAGCCTCCATCTAACAAGGCTGAAAGCTAAACATGAACTGATGAGAGAGAGGAAATCTGGAGGTGTGTCCATTCCAGCACAGTTACTACAGGATTGTCACGGGGATGTTCACCAACTTACAGGAATGGCAAATCCCACAAACAGAGGTTCTAGACAGACGTATTACCGTGCCTCAGAATGGACGGACTTAACGTTAATAAAGATGAAGACAGAGTCAGGACTAGCCAAGGTCAGGGATATAGAAATGTGTATAAATGGAATAACAAGCCGGGTTAGGATGCCAGAAATACACGTAGTCAAATACAAGCCTAAGAGACTTACTATGAGCACTAACGTGTATCAGGGCAGAAACCACACTAGGGAAAGAAATAAGGGCAGCAATTAGCATTATATAGGCTAACAATGTTTCTGATTGGTCCACGTCATCTCTGTGACTCCAAAATAATATTACATAGCTGAAAAGAGACTTGCGTCCATCAAGTTCAGCCTTCCTCACATATGTTTTTGCTGTTGATCCACAAGAAGGCAGAAAACCCAGTCTGAAGCACTTCCAATTTTAGCAACAAAATAGGAAAAAAAAATTCTTGACCCCAAAATATCAGTCAGATGTCTCCTTGGTTCAAGCAGCTATTACCCCACTAATTAGAAATTATATCCCTGTATGTTATGTTTTTGCAAGTATTTATCCAATTGCAGTTTAAACATCTGTATAGACTCTGACAAAACCACCTCTTCAGGCAGAGAATTCCATATCCTTATTGCTGTTACTGTAAAAAAAACTTTTATTTCCCTTAGATAAAATCTCCTTTTTTCCAGCCTAAATGTGTGACCTCTTGTCCTATGTATAACCCTGTTTATGAATAGATTTCCAGATAAAGGTTTGTACTGGCCCCGAATATATTTGTATAATGTTATCATATCCCCTCTCAGGCGCCGTTTTTCCAAATTAAAGAGATTTAAATCTTTTAACCTTTCTTCATAACTAAAATGCTCCATTCCTTTTACTGATTTTGTAGCTCGTCTCTGCTATCTTTCTAGTGCCATGATATCCTTCTTTAGAACAGGTACCCATAAATGCCAAGCATATTCAAGGTGTGGTCTTACCAGCGATTTATAAAGAGTCAAAATTATATTTTCATCCCGAGAATTTATGCCCCTATTTATACATGACAAAACCTTACTGGCCTTAGCAACTGCAGATTGACATTACATATTGCTGCCTAATTTTTTGTCTATAACAATTCCCAAATCCTTCTTGTGTGTGGTTATCTCTAATTCACTACCATTTAGGGTGTAACAGATAGTGTATCAGTGTGTGCATGTGTGTGGCAATGTGTGTGTACTGGGCATACATCTTAGCATTCAAATTCCAGCACTACACACAAATACACTCACATTCAAATGTCAACACTACATGCAAACACCCAGGCATTCAAAACTCATCACTACATGCAAATACATCTCTGTGTGAAAACATCATTATACATAAACACAACCCTGCATTCGAAAACCAACACTATACACAAAGGCACGCCTGCATCCAGACACCAACACTACGTACAAACACACCCTTACATTCAAACACTACACACAAGTAGACCACTGATTTCAAATGGCAACAGTACATACAAACTCACAACTGCATTCAAATTATTATTATTGGTATTTATATATTTATATAACTTATTCCGCAGGGCTATACAATATTACATGAGACACTTACAAAATAATACAGGAACCACAGATAGATGAGGGCCCTTATCAAACGAGCTTACAGTCTATGCCAAGACTTCATATAACACACCCCTACATTTACACACACATACTTCATTCAAAAACATGCTTACATTCAAGCACACAAACACTGCTCAATGCTAATAATCCTGCAAGGATTTGAAAATGGTAGATCACCAGCTGCCAACGCATTGTATGAGTGGCCACCTTTGTGATGGGGGGGGGGGAGGATTCTTGCACCAGGAGGCTGTCTACGTTAGTTCTACCAAATTACCAAATTCTCCCTACTGCATGAAAATACCCAGGATTAACAGAAAATTATATTCTGCATAACCTCTTCATACAGCATTAAAAAACTGCACAGAAAGACGAACACTTAAAAAAAAAAGTAACAAAAAGCATTTCAATAATAAAAATTAAACATTTATTTAAAATTTATGTTACAAAGTTACAAAGGATAACAAAGTTAAAAATAACTTAGTGTTGACACATTCCAGCCAAGCTATCGGTAATTTCCCTTACTAGGAAATTAAATAATACTGCGTTACTGTATTCACAGAATAAGTATGTTTACATTGTTACAATACATTGCATGTAACCGCTGTCGTGTGATTTAGCAACATAGACAAACATATTTTACTGCTGTTTCTCTTCTTAATCCCTTGAGGCTTATTTGCTACATTGCCCCAAAGGATTCTAATGTGTGTATTCCATTCATTTAAAGGGAGTTCTGACCATTGAACACAGTTTTATAAACCCACTTCCCACCGACAAACTAGTACGGATGGATTAAGGTTCATTAAAATATTTATACATTAAATTTCTGCCAAACTTGGATTTACACCAGGATTGGCAGAGCCTTTGGGGACATTTGTGCCTATTTGCCAGCAAAACCAGACTTTTTAACTAAAGGGTTACAACACTGCAGCCTGTGGGGTTACTAAGGGGTTAAACACTGCAGCCTGTCAGGATCATCTCATCCTGAAACGCTCACTGACACTTCTAAGATACTTTAATATATAATGAAGACAGATAATGACCATACGTGGCGATACTTTCCACATACAGTTATTACATCTACCTTGCCAAAAACAAATGGAATTGCTTAATGCAAAGAACAATGCCAGCTGTAAATGGAACTGGAAATTCGTTTCTCCTACGGGTGAGGGACAACACAGGAGCAGATTAAATAGTAAGGGTAGTTTTATGTCATTTCATTTTGCATTGCAATATTAAAGGACCACTATAGTGCCAGGAAAACATACTTGTTTTCCTGGCACTATAGTGCCCTGAGGGTGCCCCCACCCTCAGGGTCCCACTCCCATGGCGCTGAAGGGGGAGGAAGGGGTTAATCACTTACCTTTTTTGATGTCATCGGCTGAATGCGCATGCGCGGCAAGAGCCGTGTGCGCATTCAGCCAGTCCATAGGAAAGCATTCTCAATGCTTTCCTATGGACGCTTCCGTCCTCTCACTGTGAAAATCACAGTGAGGAGCGCGGAAGCGCCTCTAGCGGCTGTCAATGAGAGGCTGAATTAACCCATAGGTAAACAAAGCAGTTTCTCTGAAACTGATATGTTTACAGCAGAAAGTGTTAATCCTAGATGGACCTGGCACCCAGACCACTTCATTAAGGTAAATTGGTATGGGTGCCTATAGTGGTCCTTTAAATAAAAAAGAAAATATGTATACCTTATTAGTAGTCAACTAACAAGGATTATTAATGGAATATTAATGCAGGTTTAAATATCTAAGTTTTTACCCGCTTATAATAGATGAGGTGCTATACCATTGATTCCATAATCGGATTTGCTTAACCACTTGTTTTTAACCCCTTAAGGACCAAACTTCTGGAATAAAAGGGAATCTTGACATGTCACACATGTCATGTGTCCTTAAGGGGTTAAAGGGATTCTATAGTGCCAGCAAAACAGTACCCCCCTCCCTTGCGCCCCCCTCCCACAGCGCTGAATAGGTTAAAACCTTCAGTCACTTACCCTAATCCAGCACTGATGTCTCTTGGCACTGGGTCAGGCCCCGCCCACGCTCCTCCCCTGCCAATATCAGTCGGCAGAGGAGACTAGAAGTTATCATGCAGAGCGTGAGAACGTCAACCGGCAGATATCAGACCAAAGATTTGTTTCAAACCAGTAAGACCGTTAGACAGCCCCTAGAGGTGTACTTAACCTTGGATAGTAATTATTGCAGTTTCTCAATAACTGCAATAACTTCTATAGTAGGGTAATCGGACATTGGACATTGCACCTAGACCACTTCAATGAGCTGTAGTGGCCTGGGTGCCTACAGTGTACCTTTAAGGAGGTAATATATCCTAACAACAAACAGCACATAAAGTGTCAGTCTCCAGCAGCTGATCTGAGCTTTCTTTATTATGTGCTTTTTAGCAGTGTTTATCCAATTATCACAAATGAGATGTAGTGTAAATTAGCTGTTATTAATCAACTGTGTCTGGGTGCAATGCCAGCAATGGGCTTCATATAAAAATAGCCGTATAAGAAAAAATATTGATGTATAAAAGATAATATGGCAACACAAATATATGTGTAAACATTTCCATTTGTTGACAGAACGTGGAATATTGACACTCACGGCACTGTATTTCACAAGGCAGGAAGTAGTGTAGTGCAACATGAAATTCTTTCACCAAAAAAATAGCACTTCAAACGTTTTAAGTTTGTTCACTAAATGTAAACATTAACACATGCAATGGTGAATACAACAGAAAGAAAATAATGTATTAAACAGGCAACCCTGAGTACTGACAAAAAAAAAAAAATGCTAATTTTATGGCAAACAGCCAAACTAAACAAATTCTTCCCCATTTTTTCCAGTTTGGCTATAATGGGCTCCAAGTTATAATTTTCCTCGTGAGATCACCACAATTTCTTATTTAATGAACAAACTCAAATTTTATTTTATTTAGTGAAAAACAGGTTAATCATAATGTCCTTTTAACCCGAATATCCCCGATTTTGAACATACGCGAGGTGCCTAAGAACTAAGATATGCTTTTCTTGAGCAGACATTGACCAGTCAACTGGTGTTAAAGACTTCCTATTTAGATTTTTGTAAAGGATCATTGGAATAAATCACGATTTGCTTAACTGCACAACTTCATACATTCCAACGATGGAAGGTTTAAAAGTGGGGTATATGGGTAATGACTGATAAAAGGCGAGTTCAGGAGCTTACAAGAAACATGCCGGGTTTGTGCTTAGCAAAGGGGGTCCAGCAGCCTGGTGCATGTGTGCAGTTCTCTCGCATTAGAGAAGTAATCTAGGACCGAGACAGAGACTTTGGTTCCATGACAATAGAAGATGGAAAATGTAAGTTATTGGCCAATATAATACTAACCTTTATATTGTGAATTAATATATTCCATTTATGAGAAAACCCGATCCTATGGAAGTAGGTTTGTTTGCATACAGTCTTCAACAGAATTAGTGTATAAACACCTGGTACATTTTCACAGCTTGGAAACCATACATCACACAATCCATGCAAACCTAACAGACAGGCTAACGAGATGACATCAGAGAAAGAAGAGGAGCCTATGTATGCTTAGTTAAATGATTTCAGCTTTTGTTTCAAAGCCATAAAAACAGGGCCCACCTAAAGGCAGGAACAGAGTGAGCAGTGTCTGTGACAGTTACTAAGCTTTAAATTGCTGTTTACTCTTCCGTCTGCAAAAACGACAGACTATACCACAACCAATTGCAATAACTAGTACAATCGCTATTACTGATAATATTATCACTATTAGGTTAATTTTAGTCAGTTCCTCTTTTTCACAGATTTCAGGAATCAGTTGTTCTATAAGTATTTCTTCCTTGTTGCTATTAGAACTGTAGCAAGTTGTAGAATTTAGGGAGAGAACTGTTAATGTAGTCCTCCTCACCATGTGGGCAATCCAAGAATTTGCACAACAGCTCAATGGATTTCCATATAAACACAGGGTTTTTAAAGTATTTTCAAGTCCTTGGATATTGCTGTGTTGCAAATCGCTAAAACTATTGTTGCTTAGATCAAGAGTTTCCAATTTGCAATATTTATTCCAACTTGGCAACCATGTCAGTTGGTTCCCAGACAAGTTTAAATCTTTAAGGTACATAAAAAGTGGGAGATCAACATTAAGCAGTTGCAGACCATTACCCTCAATGTATAACACTTCCAGGGATCTTTCTAAACCTTCTAGTGCGTTTGGCGTTATTGTAAGTCCAAAGTTCAGTGATAGATCTAGATAAGTCAATGGGGTTCCATTGAAGGCAGACTGAGGTATCTTTTGCATCATGTTCTCTCTAAGGTTTAAATGCTGTAATGTAGGAATGTTGAAAAATGCTACACATCGATATTCCTCTGTCCTTCGTGTCATTACTCCCGAATTTGTAGGGCACAAATTGATATTATTATTTTGTAGGTTAAGCAGGACAATACTTGGCAGACCTTGAAATATTTTGGATTCAATTACATGAAGTCGATTATTTTGTAGATAAAGTTCTTGCAACCCTCGGAGAGACTTTTTAGCTAGAGATATATTCTGCAAACTATTTCCACTTAAATCGAGAACAACTAATGAGTTTTGTGGCACAAAGTATCCAAAGGAGACATCTTCCAGGCAATTTTTGCTTAGGTTTAAAAACCTAAGTAAAGGCATACTTACAAAAAAGTCATTGGGGATAGATTCTATATTATTGTAACTTAGATCTAAGTAAGTGAGCTTCGGTAAAAAAATGGTGGTTGTATTTCTAAGTTCACCTTCATCTTCGCTCCGAAGTTGGACTGTATCATCCATCCAACTTGTTTCATCGTCAGACATTTCAACTGAAAGACTTATTAGATTCATAGACAAGTTTAGAGTAGCTATATTGTTAATCCTTGGAAGAATAGGAACATTTAATAATTTATTGTCACTCAAGTCAACATGTTCAAGCATATATTCTTCATCTGAATCGGAGGTATGAAACATTTCAATGCTGTTTTTACTCAGGTTTAGACTTTTAAGTTGTTGAAGTTTAAAATCAGAAATGCATGAGATGGAATTCATAGCAAGATTAATTTTGGTAAGGTGCTTTAGATGGTCAAAAGTACCTTCTTCTATGTGCATGATAATATTGTTCTGAAGATCCACCTCTTTTAGCTTAGGGGCACCTTCAAATGTCTTTGAAGAGAGCACAGTAATACTATTTCCTGACAATAAAAGATGTTGAAGATGTGGAGCGTTTTGTAGAAAAGGTCTCGTCATATCATTATACAAGCTATTTATTGATAGGTCCAACGTTTGAACATGGGGTAATATTCCAATTCCTTGTCCATTGTAATGGGCAAATCCATCTAAATAGTTTACAGACATATTAATTTCCTTCAAATTAACCATGTTCTTGAAAGAATCGTGCTGAATAAAGCTAATTTTGTTGGCGCTCAAATCAAGATATTCTATTAACGAATAAAGAAACAGAGGACTCTCTGTGATGTTCTGCAGTTCATTCTTCGACATGTCAAGGATTTTGATGTTTGGATGGAGACCCATGGGAATTTGATGGAAGGATTTGTTCTGACAAAGTGCTGCCATGTTTTCCTGCAGGCCAAGAGGAATAATGTTAATAATTGAGCAACATATCACATAATTATATACAAAAGAAAATAAAAACAAAGCTAAACAAACAATTATTATTGTATTAAAAAAAAAAACTAAACTAAATGGAGATCACGTAGAAAAATATTTAACTGAACATTTCTATCTAAATAAATGAAAACAATAAATAAGAAAATCAATCTATCAATGGAACCGAATGTGTCAGATCCATTTCTCCTCCAGATTCTAGAATGGTAGCTGTTGTCTCACAATATACATATTTGTTTATTACATGACTACTGCGGAACAAAGCATTTTCCTTTACAAAACAAAACATCTGAGCACCCAGTTTAATGCTTCACAGATTGGTCTTTAATGTAATTTAAAATTGGCAACACCTCAAAAGGATGAAAATCCCTGTGACCATAGATTAGTACGTTTATGATAATCACTCTATGTGAAAGGCATCTGTATGACAAGAAGCGTCTGGAAAAACAATAACAACAGATGTTATTGCCCAACCCCAAGGATGCCCTCTCACGTGCTGTTTAGCTGATTTCTTATTTAACACGTTTTAGGGAAACAAAAAAACCCTGTTTTTTTTTTTTGGTCCGTATGTTGCTATGTACCATGTTTTTTTTTCCTGTGGAAGAAATAGTAAAAGGTTACTGGGGAGTAATGCAGCCATATTGTATGCATGTATTATTATTATTATTATTACCATGTATATAGCGCCAACAGATTCCGTAGCACTTTACAATATTATAAGAGGGGGGATTTACCTATAAATAGGACAATTACAAGAAAACTTACAGGAACGATAGGTTGAAGAGGACCCTGCTCAAATGAGCTTACAGTCTATAGGAGGTGGGGTATAAAACACATTAGGACAGGAAATAGCAATCAAAATAGGTGGGTGTGAAGCAAAACTGGAGGAGAGAGTAGAGTGTGAAGCAAAACTGGAGGAGAGAGCAAGGGACAGGTATGTAAGGCAGAGGTTACTCTGGGAGGCCATACACTTTTCTAAAGAGATGGGTTTTAAGGCACTTCTTAAACTATTGAAGATTAGGGGAGAGTATGATGGTGCTAGGAAGGCTATTCCATAGGAAGGGAGCCACCCGCGAGAAGTCCTGCAAGCAACAGTTGGCCGTACGGGTGCAAGAAGTGGACAGAAGTTCATGGGCAGAGCGGAGAGACCGAGAAGGGGCATACCTATGGATCTGTGAAGAGATATAAGAGGGGCTAGAATTGGTAAATGCTTTATAGGTATGGCTTAGCACTTTGAATTGACTTCTATAGGATACAGGAAGCCAATGTTAATAAAAGGAATGGAACATATCGGCTATGAAGAAAGGTTAACAAATTTAAACCTATTTAGTTTAGAAAAACATCGCCTGAGAGGGGATATGATAACATTATACAAATATATTCGGGGCCAATACAAACCATTGTGTGGAAATCTATTCACACACCGGACTTTACATAGGACACGAGGCCATGCGTTTAGACTGGAAGAAAGAAGATTTCGCCTAAGGCAAAGGAAAGGTTTTTTTACTGTAAGAACAATCAGGATGTGGAATTCTCTGCCTGAGGAAGTGGTTTTATCAGAGTCCATACAGATGTTCAAACGGCTACTAGATGCATACTTGCAAGAACAGAATATTCAAGGATATAATCTTTCAATGTAGGGTAATAACTGCTTGATCCAAGGATAAATCTGACTGCCATTCTGGGGTCAAGAAGGAATTTTTTTCCTAGCTTGTTGCAAAATTGTGCTTCAAACTGGGTTTTTTTGCCTTCTTTTGGATCAACAGCAAAAAACAAATGTGAGGTAGGCTGAACTTGATGGACGCAAGTCTCTTCTCAGCTATGTAACTATGTAACTATGTAATATAAGGACTGACAGAGGGTAAGGTGTTAGAGGATCAGTCTGGCGGCAGCATTCATTACAGACTGTGGTGGGGCATTACGGCTTTTGGGAAGACCAATTAGGAGAGGGTTACAATAATCCATGCGGGAAATTGCTAGAGCATGAACAAGCTCCTTGGTGTCAGCTTGCATAAGAAAGGGGCGGGCTATGTTTTTAAGATGGAATCTACAGGATTTGGCAACATACTGGATGTGAGGCTCAAAGGTGAGGTCAGAATCAAGTATGATGCCAAAACAGCGCGCTTGCAAGGGTGGACTTATGTAACTAACTTGTAGGGAGAGTGAAAGAGGAGGATCAGTATTAGGAGAAGGAAGGACAAGGAGCTCAGTTTTAGAGAGATTGAGTTTTAGAGAGCGGGAGGACATCCAGTCAGAGATGGAAGAAGGGCAAGCAGTGACATGTTGCGGGGTGGCAGGGTAGAGGAGAGATGTATCTGGGTGTCATCAGCGTACAGGTGGTAGTGGAATCCAAAAGAGGTAATAAGTTTGCCAAGAGAGGCAGTATAAAGAGGAAATAGAAGGGGACCAAGGACAGAGCCTTGGGGGACTCCAGCCGAGACAGGACGAGATGAGGAGGTATCATTAGAAAAGGAGACACTGAATGAGTGTTAGGAGAGATGAGAGGAAAACCACGAGAGGACAGAGTCACAGAGACCAACTGATTGCAGAGTTTCAAGAAGGAGAGCATGATCAACTATGTTGTTGGGTGAGGGGGTACTCGAGAGATCAGAGAGAGGAAATAGAGTGTTGCAGATATTAGATACTGTACATGCATAAGAGTAAATGAGGTCGAGGGTATTGCCAGCTAGATAGGTGGGAGAATTAGCCCACTGTGATAGCCCAAGGGAGGAAGTGATTGAAAGTAGTTTAGAGGCTGCTGAGGTCAAAGGTGGGTTAATGGGGATATTAAAGTCTCCGAGAATTAAGGATGGAATATTAGAAGAGAAGAAGTAGGGTAGCCAGGCATCAAGGTGGTCAAGGAAGAGGAGAGGAGAACCAGGGGGGCGGTAAATAACACCAATGTTAGCAGAGAAGGGTTTGAAAAGATGAATCAAATGAATTTCAAATGATGGGAAAGAGAGGGGGGGGTGGGTAAAGGTTTGAAGGAGCAATGAGGCGAGAGGAGAAACCCTACACCACCACCTTTACATTCAGAGTGTCTTGGGTTGTGATTATAGACATGTTTCTGTTAAGGCTAGTAAATCTAGGGAACGAGAGATGGAGGTCGTGAACAGCAATGGATTTTGTAATATTGCAAACAGAGCGTGCGTTCCAGAGGGCAGTGTTGAAGGAGGATTTGGAGGAAGAATAACATGAGATGGGAATGAGATTGGTGTGGTTCCTTGAGTTAGTACATGGTGGGTTTGCCGAGATGACACCGGGGTTTGGAGAGACATCACCAACAGCTAGGAGCAGAAGGGTAGAAAGGAAGTGAAGGTGAGAGTAGGATTTGAATGTTTTGTAGGAGGGTATGTATATAGAGGATTGGGAGGAGTTGGTGGAGATAGGCTGGAAAGGTTTGTGTAGAGTGCATGGGATGAAAAGAGAGGGGAGGGGAGTAAAGAGGAAGTAATAAAGGTGGTGTTCCCAGGGGCTGGTGAGCAGAAGAATAGGGATATTTTTGTAAAGAGAGAAGTTAGTGTGAAAGTGAAAAATAGAAGGGAGAACATTATTTAGAGAAAATGTGTTTTGTTATATAGATATGAAGATTATACATATGCACATATATAATCATAGACATATATACACACACATATACCAATGAGTGTTTAAACCATGGTTTATGGATGCAGTTTGTTAACAGAAGGATTTCAGGTGAGGAGAGGTTTAGTGACTTGATTGGTGTGTTTTGAAAACCAGCTGAACTGCACTATCTATAAGTATGGTAATGACCATGGGGTGGCATGGGGTGGGGAGGGGATGGTGGGCAGCCTTCCAGAGATGATACCTCTGCTTAGGCGATTCTGCAGAGCTTGGTTGCTTGTGAGTACTGGGTGTTGCTAATCAATGCTGTTTTAGGGCCCAGTTTGAAATATGTGTGCATGTGTCCCTATTTATGGTGGGCCCACATCCCACTGCCTATCTATTTTATCCCGCAGTGCTTCAAAAAATTCCCTAAAAAACACACTTCTTTAGGGTAGCCTATCAGCCCTCCCCTACAACCTGTCTCTGCCGTCTCCTCTCATCTTCTCTGCACCAAGGAAGAGCAGAACCAGTTTATGTTTTTCATTATCAGGGAGCTAGACAGGTAAATTACCTGAGAGAAATGAAATATTTTTTTAAAAGAAAAGCTGTAGGGACGGGGTCTTTGCAGTATAACCACTTCAGTAAGAGGAAGTGGTTAAAGAGCTTAGTGTGATCCTTAACGTTTATTTACTGTAGTAGAACCAACTCTATATTTGATACATATTGTGTGTTACCTCCTTTAAGAAATAAAGCGCCCACACATAACCCAACAACCCTTTGGCACTCAGGACATATATTTTAAATATTATATATATATATATTTAATATTTTATATGTTTAAATTTAAAGGGACACTATAGTCACCAGAACTACTACAGTTTAATGTATAGCATACAGTTTAATGTAGTGGTTCGGATGTCTATAGCCTGTCCCTGCAGTCCTAGCACTGTATACTCTGGATTTTCTCTGAAAAGACTGTGTTTACATTGCTGGCTAGTAACACCTCTAGTGGCAGTTACTATCACTTCCACTAGAGGTGCTTCCTAGTCCAGTGCTGCACCGTGTGCAGCTACGCTCTGAATGGAGACACTGCAATCTCTCCGTAGAGATGTATTGATTCAATGTATCTTTATAAGGAGATGTGTCACTTTGCAGCTCATTTGCAACAGCCTCCCAATGCTTTCCTATGGGACCAGCAGCGGTGTGGCTGGTGCAATGTCGGAGAATAGGTTTGTAAAATCACATGTAATCTCCAGAGAGAGGGGACCCGGGGATCTAACAGTGTATTCCAGCATTCCAGTGTACAGAATACATGTTTGCATTCCTAACACTATAGTGTTCCTTTAAGAAGTAAAAATAATGTACTTTTAATATCTGAGAGATAAAGGATTGTGATATTTTTTTACATTTTTCACACACTAAGAGCTGATCAAATCACTTTTTCCCCCCCTTTCACGCCCTTATTAAGAAGAACATAAGTTATTGGAGATTTTAGCACATTAAACACATTCTTGCGATCTCTGCTGTCTTAATGTCTTTGATCTTGTTGGACAAGTTTGGTAGTTTAGAAACAGATGCTGCGAGGGAAACAGCAGTGGCCCTGGAATGGTAAACATTGCCATTTATTAAGAAATTTACATCCCAAGAACAACAAATCTAATAATACTCTCGGGGGAAGAGATGACGGGGTATTTTTCACAGGGAATCAGGGCTCATGGGCTATGTCACAGAATATCATTAGATTTATGGCTCTGTTACAGACAGACTTACATCCCAGGGGACCCCGGACCATGGGTGTCGGAATGTAAACCACATATCTGCTGATATAGTACAGCGCCTGCTGGAGAATTGTAGGGGTTGTAGTCAAGTAACATCTGGCATTCCTCCCACGAGTTTTAGATATCGTGATTTGTCATTATTGTCAGTCAGTCCCAGATTTGGGATTTTATATTATATTTTATATTTATGTAAATATACACTGCGAACCACTGTGTTGGCCCTATTTATGCGCTTTATAAATAGATAGAAATTCACTGAGGGTTGTTATCTAAAAAAAGTCCTGGATCCAGGGGCCATCCTGATTTCAGGCTCCTGTCCAGCCATCCCAGGTTAGATTCCAGGTGTCCCCAGCTTACTGATCCATGTGACATTTTAAAAATGGCATCTATTGGTGTAAATTATCCTACATCTGCCTGGATGTTCTTTTAACACGAGCAGTGCTAGCTGGAAAAAGTGTGAAAAATCCTTCCAGTGCTAGCCTAAACGCCAAGACTAACTTTAAAGGGACACTGCTTTTTGTTATATCCCCAATGAAAACATGCATGCGTTTAATTATGCATTTTTATGTTGAGGGTATATGTAAAAACACTTTGCAAAAGCTGTAGATCTCTTGTCTGCAGCTTTTGCAAGCCCTCCTCTTCCAACCCCGCCCAGACTTTCTGTGCCTGTCCAATCACAGACTTCCCAATGCAGCTCAATGAGAAGTCTTTGCAAGGCAGGTGCTCTGAGCAATTGCTGCCTCTTGAGTTAAACAAACCAGGAAGTAACATTTATAAAGGCACATTTGAAAACAGGAAATAATTTTTTTTTAAAAGAGGATATACACATACTGTGCTATAGGTGTTTGGAATGTCCCTTTAACATGCAAACACTATACTCACCCTAACACTAAAGAGGTACCCACACAAAACACGCCTAATTTTTAAAAGCATTCATTTAAAATGCCATCATTTTTTTCTTAACATGGTCAATATTTACAACTGTCAGTCAGGACGTCTCTAGTGGTTGCCAAACTGACAAATGAATCAATCAGAAAGCCACTAGAGGCATTTCCTTTTTAAGACTTTCAACAGCCCGAATGCTGAATGTTTGGAATGCTTCTTATACAAAATCATTGTATTAATGTCTATGGGACGCATCAAATTGGATGAGCACAGTGACTGCCGTGCATGCGCAGTAGAACCCCACTGCTTCTCTGTAAGAAATATTGCATTGGACAAGAGATCATATGGACAGATGTTCTCAGAAGTGGAGGAGAAGCTACCATAAGGTAAATTGTACGTGAGAGGGCCCATCATGTAAAGTTGAAGATCATAAATAACATTAAATAATTTTAACATTAAAATAAAAATATATTGGTAATGTTTGAGTGTCCCTTTCTTTATAAACCTATCAATAGCAAGTAAATTCTGTAAACCAGAGTGATTTTTTTTAATTTTACAAGTAGACCTCTTTCCTGGGACCCTGCCAAGGTTAGACAATATAGAGTCTGGGCTGTTCTCGTCAGTCTCTGGCAAAATTAATGAATTCATTTAATTATATTTAAACAATATATAACCCTCAGACCCAATACCAAATGTTCCCAAACAAATGGGTAAAACCTTAATTCAGATTGACTGCTATTTAACACAAGCACTTTATTTATATTTGATTTATCACTTTAAATAACAAAGCAATACAGTGGTAATATTTATACATTTTAATTAAATATAAGGAGATCAATGATGCATTCTCTGTTTTGATAATCCTTTAACATTCACCTTGAGGTTAGCTCAAAGCTCATATGTAGCTGAGCATGTTATACTACAATATATAACTGTCATATTTTCAACTATCGCAAATTCCTTCTTCTCCCCCATAAAATACCATGCTTGTTTCTGAACCTCAATGATTTATAGCTCAATCTCTAGGGATAACATTGCAAGTAAAAAAAGAACTCCACGTTTAAAAAAACGAAAACAGTTTAGTTATTAAAGGAACACTATAGTCACCTAAATTACTTTAGCGAAATAAAGCAGTTTTAGTGTATAGATCATTCCCCTGCAATTTCACTGCTCAATTCACTGTCATTTAGGAGTTAAATCACTTTGTTTCTGTTTATGCAGCCCTAGCCACACCTCCCCTGGCTATGATTGACAGAGCCTGCATGAAAAAAAAAACTGGTTTCACTTTCAAACAGATGTAATTTACCTTAAATAATTGTATCTCAATCTCTAAATTGAACTTTAATCACATACAGGAGGCTCTTGCAGGGTCCAGCAAGCTATTAACATAGCAGGGGATAAGAAAATCTAAATTAAACGGAACTAGCAATAAAGGAAGCCTAAATTGGGCTCTCTTTACAGGAAGTGTTTATGGAAGGCTGTGCACGTCACATGCAGGGAGGTGTGACTAGGGTTCATAAACAAAGGGATTTAACTCCTAAATGGCAGAGGATTGAGCAGTGAGGCTGCAGGGGCATGTTATATACACCAAAACTGCTTCATTAAGCTAAAGTTGTTCAGGTGACTATAGTGTCCCTTTAAATAGGATTACTGGATACAATGGCATTGTCCATCTTATTATTATCCACAAGCTGGCGATTGGCACTGCTGGTGGTGTAACTAAATTTAAGCTTCCACCTTGTTCCCACCCGTTATGTCTACATTTTGTCCACGTCCCATATGCGGCCCAACTTGGCTTTGGATGTAAATCTAAACTAGGGATTGGTAGGAGATTACCACAGTTGGATTCCAGGCCGAAGTTGCAGAATTTATACTTCTTAATGGCAATAATCTAATAAATAAATATATTTTAGCTACTCTATATTTTGGGAAAAAATCCGTAGAAAACATCATGGACATGTTTCTATAGCAATGCCTTACAAACTGGCATCCAAGATATGACTTTTATTATTATATGATTCTAAAATTCTTACCACAACTGCTAGCCTGCACCGAATGTCTACGGCACAATTTAAGTTAATGTGATTAGCATAGCATTCACAAAATCGGAAATTGCCGAGAACCGATGGGAGAATTGCAACTGTTAGGTCGCAGTAGTCAAACATGAATATTTCATCGCCAGCTTGGCTATTTTAGACTAAAAGTTTCTGTCCCATGGAGAGCTCCCAACAATTTGCAGTTTGGTGAATATCCCTGCCAGAACGTCCATAATGTTTACAGGATATTCGGCATGAAGTGTGAATAAGACATATTGTTCGTACCATAACACAGGGTGACTCCAACGATGGCCGATACGTAGAAATCCCTTCTTTAACCATTGCCAAGAGCAGTAGGAAGTACAGGAGCATGGCTCTGTGTACAAAGAATAAAATAACGTCATATATAAATAAGAACCGTGACTTTCCAATAAATACCCAGCCTCCCTCCAAAAATATTAACAACATTGCATAAATGTGGAGGCCAAAACACAAATTGTCTATGCATCATGTTGTGTATGGGACCGAAGATGCATGAAGGAAACATGATCCATTTTTCTTTCACTCTAGAGCCTGTTAGCAACATTCGTTCTTCAGGCGACTAAAACAACTGACATATCTCAACCTGGCCCATTTTCCAACTCAATTTTCAGCTAGGTTTTGCAACTCTTTATCTTCAACTCTTTATCTTCTCAAATGTTTTGTTAGATTACTGCTTGGCTATTTAAATATAAATCCAGATCAGGCTTAGGCATTCCAGATGTTTTGGACTACACCCCCCCATGATGCTTTGCTAGCATTATGCCTGTAAGAGCATTATGAGAGATGTAGTCCACAACATCTGGGGTGCCAAAGATACCCCTGTATCTAAATCAACGGTTCTTATACTTTCTTTGACAGGGACCCGCATTATATAACATATAGCAAGAAAATCTCTGGGAATAATTTTTAATAAATAAAATAACTAAATAATTTCCAGTGCCCGAGATTCCTGGGGAAGCAGGGTTACTGCAGTAAGCAGTTTATTATAATTATTATTTGTATTTATAAAGCTCCGGGCCTATTATGCAGAACTGAGAAGAAAGGAGGAGGAAACGTTGTCCAATGCACTCACACTAGTCTTTGCTCAATAGCACAGTTTATTTAGTCTAGATTAGAAGAAGGTCTGTTACAGGGGTAGACAACATTCAGCACTCCAGATGCCGTGGACTACATCTCCCATCCCTCTGGTCCACTATGTGTCTGATTCATTATGTTGTCTCTGTGGTGTGGTTGCCACAATCAGGGTTTTAATGAACACAACAGCAAAATCACGCACTCCCTGATACCTGTTCAGATGGTTAACAAACAAACAAAAACACAGACACACACACACACACACACACAGACACACAGACACACAGACACACAGACACTATATGTTACAGAATATATCTTCCAAGTAAAATGATAACGTGTTATTGTTTTTAATTATTTAATGTAACATATCACAATTACAATGTAAAGTATATACATCAATAAACAATGTATCATCCTTTTCAACTATAATGCTTTATCAGTAGATTGGGGGAAAATCAGGGAAAAAGGGGAAAAAAAAGACAATTCCAAGAAAACAAGAATATGAATTATTAGAAACCGCTGAACTGTTTAAATGTTATCAGAGCTCGTGGTTTTATTCTTCTACTCAAAAGATTTAATGTGACATTTACTTTAAAACGACAGGGCGGCTTTAAGATAAAGAGATGCAGAACCCAATAAATGAAACAAGACGGGATATTAAAGGCACGTAATGAAACAGAGCCAAACTTTGTACTTTTATTATAGCATTTTGCATGGAAGAGGCAATAAAAGGAAGACTGGATAATATTGCTGGTCTCCTTGCAGTAGAACCATGGGATGTATCAGATAGGATGGATAACAAGAAAACCCATCAGGAGGTAGGGGTGGAGGTATACTGCGGGACAATAATATTCTAACATTTTGGACATCTGGCTGTTAGCAAACTTCAACTCCCATAATCTAGTGATAAACACAGCATGCGGCTGGCCAAGGTTCATGGGAGTAGGAACGCAGCTGGAAGTCTGTTTTTGATAGCTTTTGCTGATTCTATCTCTTTACTTAGAAGGGATGTTTTAACTCGAATGGTGCCAAACTGATGTGATGGGAATTAAAGTACCATTGTCCAATCTTTCAGAGCGCAGGCAACGCTTATGTATCAATAGACACTAAGTGAGCTGAGAATAATTAAACGTGCTCCTGTCATGCAAACATCTCATGGGAGCCCTTTAAAGAGACTTTCACTTAATCTATTCATAGATAGCGTGATAGAAATTGTATATATGCAACCGGTCGTGGCTGGTAAAGTTTTAAGATTATGGGGTGCCAGACTTCTCCCCCGGCATTTTACTCCCCCCAACACCTTACAATACAGAGAGATGAGCTTAATACAGAGATGGTCAAACAATAAAACAAGCTTGGTGAGGCGGGTTACCACAAAACTTACTGTTTAAGGCTCAATAGAGACTATACACTCTCCAGGCTCCCTTGGTTCCCCTCCCCTCCATGATTCCCAGCAAGCCCCTCTCACTAACACATTCACTGCTTATCCACAGAGCTGGAGTATCACAGACTTGTCAGTGGAATGTTTCCATAGATCGCATGGAACTCCGGCTCAGTCACGGATGTCCCTCTGGCCCGGTTACTTTCCATTATGGTTTTCACCACTTCCCAAGGTCCAATGAGAGCGCTATTTGGAGGGAAGTTACAGTTCATCAAGGGGAACAATCGCTAGCTATGAGCCAAATAGGGAGCTCATAGGCACACCAGAGACCCCTTCAAAAACACAGGCATATGACTGTAAACGCCTGGTACTGTTTTCCGGCTAGGAGTGTTCTAGCGGCCGGTTCAAACTTTAATGGGATGGCGTTTTCCTAAATCTCCATATGTATAATGTTAGCATATTCCCTCTGAGGCGCCATTTTTTCCAAACTAAAGAGATTTACATTTGTTAACCTTTTTGGCCAGATTGGGCACTCCAGCAAGAGCTATCTGGGAATGTATAATATGTTGGGGTTTTCGAATGTTATCACTCTGTCTTTGGGGTTTTTGTGCGTTCGGCTTTCTGTATTCGGGAGAAAATAAGTTTAGCGGGAGTTGACACAATTATCTCCCAGGCACAGAGACGCATTGGCAGGTTCTGCTGTATAGTGAATGGAGACCCCATGCTGGTGGTCTGTGCATAAAAGGCTGCACTGTGTTTAATAAAACCAGCTATTCTTTCCAGCATCATTTATCATCTGATGTCTGGGTTATAATCACTAAGGGAATCTTGTTCCAGCTGAGAGCAGAATCTAGCGGAGATATCCAGTCGGGATACCAGGGTTCCACTACACTAGGCACAACATAAAAATGTATGGAAAATACATAGGGCTGAGTACAATACAGATATAACCATACCCAGTAGTGTATTTTGGATTGGTGCTGCCTTAAGCATGGCGGAACTCGGGCATCCCCTAATTTAAATGTACCCACCCCTTCCTGCCAAGACCACACCTCTTCCTGTTAACTAACACACATTTTGACTTACAGACACACACTGACACACACTCACGGACAAGCACACACTCTTAGATACACTGACATACGCACATACACTCACTAATTTGACACAATCTGACAGACATATACAATCATTCAGACACACACTGGCAGATGCATACACACACTGACAGACACACATAAGCACTGATAGATGCACACACGCACTGACAGATATGCACACGCACTGACAGACACGCACAATCACTCAGACACACACATTTACTGACAGGTACACACATTCACTGAACGACACACACTCATTCACAGACACTATGACAGACATACACACACATTCACTGACAGACATTTACTCACAGACACACTGACGGATAAACACACAAACTCACTGACAGACACACACTCACACAATGGCAGACACACACATTCACTGATAGAAAACACACACACACAAATGTAAACCCACCCAGGCTCCCTACTTTTGGGAGAGCTGGATGAATTATTTACCTGGGGTGCAATGAGGCTGCTAGGTGTGCGGGCTAGCAGGCTTGCGGGTAGACAAGAAGGCAGGCGGGCGGCTAAGTAGGTGGCCTTCCCCTGTTTTTTGGCTTAGTACCAGCCCTTCCTTTCTAAATAACTGCAAATCCATTTTTATCTATTTAAAAACTGGTGGGGCGCTGCCCCAAGTGCCCGTGTGAAAGAGCCTTCAACATTCCTTAATGTTTTACTCCCAGGCACAAGAGATTCACCATCTTTTTTTTCAGACAAATTTTACAATTTTAAAATGGTTTCCCTGAATACTTGATATTTATATAGGACAGTAAAGAAACTTAGAAAGAAAAAAAATCAACCCGTTAATTGAATTACCTTCAACATCACATTGTTTCTAGATAGCACACGGCAGCACCTTTCATGCATTGTCCATTGGTATTTAGAAGTGATATACATATAAGGAATCACCACTCATACCAACTTTATTTATGAAAATTCGCTACATCAGAGGCCTCTATGTTCGAAGATCTGCTCTGATACACAGTGTATTGATCACGGCATTGTTCCTCATGTTCTCCATTATGATCAACAATTAACATAGTTACAGAGTTACATAGGCTGAAAAGAGACTGGCGTCCTTTAAGTTCAGCCTTCCTCACATTTGTTTTTGCTGTTGATCCAAAAGAAGGCAAAAAACCTAGTCTGAAGCACTTCCAATTTTGCAACAAACTAGGAAAATTTCCTTTTTGACCCCAGAATGGAAGTCAGATATTTCCTTGGATCAAGAAGCTATTACCCTACTTATTAGAATTTATACTCCTGTATATTATGTATGTGCAAGTATTTGTTCAATTGCTGTTTAAACATCTGTATAGACTCGGATAAAACCACCTCTTCAGGCAGAGAATTTCATACCCTTATTCTTCTTCCTGTAAAAAACCTTTTCCTTTGCCTTAGACTAAATCTCCTTTCTTTCAGTCTAAATGTCCTTCGTATAGCCCTATGAGGAAAGGAATTTAGGGGTAATTATTTCTGATGACTTAAAGGTAGGCAGACAATGTAATCGAGCAGCAGGAAATGCTAGCAGAATGCTTGGTTGTATAGGGAGAGGTATTAGCAGTAGAAAGAGGGAAGTGCTCATGCCATTGTACAGAACACTGGTGAGACCTCACATAAGGTATTGTACACAGTAATGGAGACCGTATCTTCAGAAGGATATTGATACCTTAGAGAGGGTTCAGAGAAGGGCTACTAACCTGGTTAATGGATTGCTGGATAAAACTTACGAGGAAAGGTTAAAGGATCTTAACATGTATAGCTTGGAGGAAAGACGAGACAGGGGGGATAGGATAGAAACATTTAAATATATAAAGGGAATCATCACCGTAAAGGAGGAGACTATATTTAAAAGAAGAAAAACTACCACAATAAGAGGACATAGTCTTAAATTAGAGGGACAAAGGTTTAAAAATAATATCAGGAAGTATTACTTTACTGAGAGGGTAGTGGATGCATGGAATAGCCTTCCAGCTGAAGTGGTAGAGGTTAACACAGTAAAGGAGTTTAAGCATGCGTGGGATAGGCATAAGGCTATCCTAACTATAAGATAAGGCTAGGGACTAATGAAAGTATTTAGAAAATTGGGCAGACTAGATGGGCCGAATGGTTCTTATCTGCAGTCACATTCTATGTTTCTATGTTTCTATGAATAGATTTTCAGAGAATGGTTTGTACTGGCCCCGAATACATATGCATAATGTTAGCATATTCCCTCTGAGGCAGCTGCCCAAAATTGCACAGCGTATTCAAGGTGTGGTCTTACCAGCAATTTATAAAGAGGCAAAATTATGTTTTCATCCTGAGAATTTATGCCCCTATTTATACATGACAAAACCTTACTGGCCTTAGCAACTGCAGATCGACATTGCATATTGCTGCCTAATTTGTTGTCTATAACAATTCCCAAATCCTTCTCGTGTGTGGTTATCCCTAATTCACTACCATTTAGGATGTAAGTTGCTTGTGCATTCTTAACCCCGAAGTGCATTTTTCCACGTTAAATGTCATCTGCCATTTTAGTGCCCAGTCCCCCAATCTATCCAAATCCCTCTGCAGTAAAGCAATATCCTGATCACATTTTATCACTTTTACAGACTTTTGTGCCATCTGCAAACACTGAAACATGGCTTTCAATGCCTATTCCCAAGATCATCTATAAATATGTTAAATAGTTGCGGCCCCAGAACAGAACCCTGAGGGACACCACTTACCACTTTTGTTCAGCTTGAAAATTAACCATTTATGATGACTCTCCGTACGCCTCTAGATAAGCCATTGGCAGTTTGAATCTTTGTTTTTTTTGTTGTTTGTTTTAGTACACAATTCGAAAGATTAAGGCATCATTTGCTATTGTTCTCTTCATGAGATACAATGTCTATGCTCTATCAAGAACACATTGTCCTATACACAACTGACAATATTGTAACCCCGGCCTATATCAATGTCTTGTTTATAGCTGAACAATCTGAAAGTTATCTATATCCAGGATTGTACACAGGTCTTCACACATTTTGACATTAGCATAGACAAACGCTCTGCAAACTGTCAAGACGTGCTGCACGCACTATCACTGGCATCGTATAACTTTAAATCCTGACGTGATTTATTACCTATTTTACTATTGATCTCTGCTAATTTGTCATACATTTCCCAGGTTTGCCATTAAAGGGTTACTCCAACCAACATGGCTTTTAGAAGTGGTCATGGTAGCAGGAATCCCTCTAAGGGGAAGCATTTGATTGGACCTCTAGCGGGGAGCAGTGACATAAAAGACACTGGATTCCAAGTTTGTTTTTTATTTACAGGTACATAACTGGGGAAGACATTGAATAATGCCCAGTAGGACATTGTAAATGAAATTAAACCATTTAATACAAATGGTTAGAGTAAGATATTGCATGGCGCTATCTGATGGGCGAATTAGATATACAATGTATTGGTGTAGGACATGTTTGACATACACGAGAGGGTGGTGAGTGCCATGCTCAAACCGTGCTCAATTGAAGTATAATAAAATTACAGAACAGAAACAAAAAAGTACATTTTATTGATTAAATCATTTTAAAACGTACATGTAGCTAGTGAACAAACTGGCAGAGGGCGGATGTGTAGCATGAGCAGGGGGTAAGGAAGAGGGGCTTGGCAGCGACATTCATTATTAAAGGAACACTACAGGGTCAAGAACACAACCATGTATTCCTGACCCTATAGTGTAATACCTCAGCCCCTTTAAAAGCAAATAAAACTCCCCTTATCGCCAGCGCTAGCTCCGCCCCCTTGGTGACATTATCAGAATTGCCGCTTTTAAGCCAATCCAATGCTTTCCCATAGGGAAAGCATTGGATTGGCTGAAATCGGCAAGGGGGTAGGGCCAGACTCAGTTTTGGCCAATCAGCACCTCCTCATAGAGATGCATTGAATCAATACATTTCTATGAGGAAAATTCAGCGTCCCCATGCAGAGCGTGGAGACGCTCAACGGCAGTGCTGCACACTATGCAGCACTGAGCCAGGAAGCACCTCCAGTGGCCATCTGAGGAGTGGCCACTTGGAGGTGTCCCTAGGGGCAATGTAAACACTGCCTATTCTGTGAAAAGGCAGTGTTTGCATGCAAATGCCTGAAGGCAATGATTATACTCACCAGAACAACTACATTAAGCTGTAGTTGTTCTGGTGACTATAGTGTCCCTTTAATTGTAACGAGGTGATATGGGCATAACTCAAACCAATATGGAGGGGGTTGGCAGCATTGATTATTAATTGTAACATAAATTGGAGACGTAATAGATGTGAGGAGAGAAGAAGAGCTTGTAACTGCTACATTGGGCCACGACAAACAAATTGCCCAAAATACAGTAATAAAAGAATACAATTACATAATATAATTAATATTGTGCTGTGAGGGAGGGTCCCACAATTCTCTATGTACTAGTGGTCTTGGGGCACAATTGTCCCCCATCACCTTTGCTCCCTTTCCCCCATGTCAGCCCTCCCCTGGGGTACAGTTGATGGTAGCACCGGTAGCATTGAGGAGACTGATATTTGATACATCATATCCAAAGGAGAAAAGAAAAGGACTTTAGTTTATTTTGTTTTTTCCCAAATTTGAGCAGAAGGGTAGTGATGGCAGAATGTGGAGGAAAGCGACCAGAAGAATAGGTATCGCGTTGTCCGGCCTTGCGCTGCTTAGTGAATAGACACCATTACCTTATTATGGCAAGTTACACTCTCCCTGCGCTAGCCATGATTATGGACAAAGCTCAGTAACAGCGTGCCTGCAGCTAGAAGGATTTCTTGTGTGATTTTGCCGGTAAGCTGGGTCAGATATCTTCGTAACGGAGGAAAAAAATAAAAGAAAACAAACAGAAAAAAAAAAATACAAAAACACACGTTTGGAATAAAACATTTGTTTCTGATGAGTAAACCCTCTAAAAAGCATGTCTTCTTTAAATTAACATTTAGTAAAACAACATGTCGTTTAATGTTTGCTTTGTGTTTTAGGAAATTCTATCTCTGCTGTGACCCCCCCTGTGCCGTCCTGTCCTCCCCAGGGAAGAATCAGCTCATCCTGTTATGCCATCTCCCTTTGTAGATGTTTTTATTGGTGGACAGTGAAGGAGACTCTCTCTGGGGCCTGTTTTACAAATGCTGTTAAGATATTTCCCTCTTCCCTTTGAAGTATTCACAGAGTCGATACTTTGCTCATGTTGTCCTGCACAGTTATATTGTCCACATGGTCTTGTGAGATCTGTGAAAGAGTTTCTTAGCCTGACAGGAGACACACAAACCCATATAATGCCTTCATAAATCAATTAAAGGGACACCGTAGGCATTGTATCTGCTTCATCTCACTAAACTGGTTATAGTGTCTGGAGTCCTCTGGTACCATCATTTCTTTCAGCATTAAACAGTTTTTAAACTTTTATTGTTTTAATGCTAAACAAGAGTCCCCAGCAATCCATCCCCTCTGTGCTGCTTTGGCTAATAAGGAAGTATTACCCTGAGCAGCAATGGGCAGCTGTGATTGGCTGAGAGTGTCAGCTGACTGCTTTTAGCCTGTCAGAGTTCCAACTGACGGTATGAATGGGTATGACAACAAGGAAGTGTGTAATCTCTGCCTTAGCTACACATACTGAAGGGGCCGGACTGTGGGTATCCAGGGACTCTTATTTTGTGGCATACTGCACGAACATGGTGCAACACTGAATGGAGGGACAGTGCCAGGGCACTCCAGGCACTATAACCAATTCAAAGAGATGAAATGCTTATAGTGACTACAGTGTCCCTTTAATTGATTGAGTCTGACAGTGTACGGGATCCACATATTGCTGGGCAGCACTAGTCATGTACCTTAACAGGATGCAGCTCTTATGGCCAACGTCTATATATCTGCTCCCTGGGGTTTCCAGACTCACCATGTTTCCTGGTTACATAACACATTTACATGCCGACGGTTAGTACATGAAGAGTGCTGCCGTGTGGTGTACAGCACATTTATATGTTTTAGGAAGGAAATAACTTAAGGTAATACGTTTGGGCTCCGTCTGATTAATGATTATATTTCCTTACTGCCTCATATGAATGATCAATACATCAGAGGAGCACTTTTCATGCGTTGCCCACACCATGCAATTTTTATGTAATCGTAAAAACCTGTTTACTGGTCGATGCTATTAAAACACTCTCACCTACCTTACTGTGCTCAGGTAGCTTTGGAGCCATCAAATGTTAGCATATCTCCCAAGTGTCCCTATTTAGGAAGGGCAGTCCCTATTTTGGGCCCAAATACACACAGCTTATGGCAGAAATATGAGTTTCTGATCTACAACTTGCAGCCACACTGTTATCTAGCATTTTCTTTAAGTACAACAGTGCAAATATAAATTATTTATGAGGTTTCTCTGCATGGTCCGAGTGCCCGTTCACAGTGCGAGCGTGCCTTGTGATGCACTTACACTGTGCTGCCTGCGGAATGTCCCACATCTGGGGCAACAGGAAACTAAATAAAGATGGCGGAACTGGGACTGTGCCACTGAAATCGGGACTGTTGGCAGGTCTGCCAGGGAAAAAGTGGCATTTGCACAGTTGAGCTGATTAGTTTACAGGTTGTCTGCAGCACAGAGAACATTCAATACCCAATTAAATGTGTGCATTTGCAAATCTTTTATTCAATGTTTGTAAAACTGCTGAAAAGAATCGATGTGTACAGATAGTTTTAACATGTTTTATGAGGAAAGCATAAAAATGCTCGATGGCAGACACTTTAAATGAGTGACGATTTATCATTATAAATCGGAATGGCTTGTGTCTTGATGCCAATAAAGTATTGAGCCCCGTAAAGTCTTTTATACTGTATCAGGATAAAACAACAACATGTTTCTAAAAGCGTCATTAAACCTCAGGAACACATCTGCTAACATCTGTCCTGCAGACTGTGATATCCATCTATCCGACGCCAGTAGACCTCCTAGTGCCCGAAATTGAAACACTATTTGCCGAGTCAGGCTGACCTGTATGTACGCCAACCCTATGACGATATCCAGAAACTGGAAATGTTGAATTATTGGGTAAAAGCAAAAGCAATAAAGGGGTACACTCACTAAACAGGGAGTTTTATTGCCTTGACAACCAACTTAGGCCACCAGAACCAAGGAATCAAATGTGTCACGCTCTGCCAATCCGATATTATTTTTCCATCTTGACAGCTTTAGCATGCTTTTAAATGTATTTATTTTTAGCATTAGAATGTTCATTTTTTACTATAGATAACCGGGTCACCACAAAAAAAAAAAACTTACAAAAACCCCCATTAAACTGTTACCCCCCCCCCCCATTAACCCCTTAAGGACACATGACATGTGTGACATGTCATGATTCCATTTTATTCCAGAAGTTTGGTCCTTAACGGGTTAAACAATTACTTTGTTACCCCTACTTATACCCTTTGTGTCACTATACTCCACTCCCTCTAGCACAGGGGTTCTCAACCTTGCCCTCAAGGACCCCCTACCAGTCCAGGATTTGGGGATTACCTGGGTGTGTCTAAGGTGTTTAGAAAAAGAAAAAAAAAAACACCTTAGAGTCTAAGGTTTTTTTTTCTTCCCATTTTTCTTAACACCTTAGACACACCCAGGTAATCCCCAAATCCTGGACTGGTAGGGGGTCCTGAGGACTGGGTTGAGAACCCCTGCTCTAGCATGTAAGCTCATTGAGCAGGGCCCTCAAACCCTCTGTTCCTGTGCGTCCAACTTGTCTGGTTACAATTACGTGTCTGTTTGTCCACCCATTCTACAGTGCTACATTGCTGACTCTATAGAAATAATAATAATAATAATATTAATTTATGAATTTTATAATTCATGTTTGTACAGTTTGGTGTTTAATTGCAAATTCACATAGTTGTATTTTTTGTAACAGGTGAAAGTGTGGAGAATTGACGAAATAATTGTAAATTCTCAGAGCTGGGCAAATAAATGGTGGAAATGTGTACAATATAGTTATCTTGACCTACATTCTACAATTCTTGCTAATTCTTAGCAGTTTAGTGAATATCGTCTATTTGACAACAATTCGTAGAATTCTGAGCCAGTTTTACAGACGACTACTTGTCTTCCTGGACACATTTACAGTAATATTGGGAATTATTCCATCAACAGTTGAAAAAGGAATGGTAAAAAAATAGACCAAAATATTGGAAAAGAAAATAGATGTAAATTTCCTCCAAAATGTCCCGAACGTGTTTGTGATTACACAGCAGCCCACTGTTTAGTAAATAGGCCCCATGATCTGCCCCACACATAGGATCAGTGTGCGTTCAGATAAGAATGGCCCGGAGCGTGTAGGGATGATGTTGTCGATGTAATGGGTTTGGAATGTCACTGTGACTTGAGTTCATTGTTCGCTGCCAAAAACAAAATGAAGTTTCGTTACATGTTTGAGTTTCACTGGATATTCCCACTGTTAATTAGCAGCAGGTAATTTCCAGATGAAAGAAAAGACAGGTACATTTAATAAAGGATTCTACATACATTAGCGTTTTATGTTTCACGACAAAATTCCGTCGGCAATAGAGTGTAGAGACTTTTTCAACTTCCTCAATGCTACAGCGACTTAATTTATAATAAGGAATAGCAGGTGCTTTTATTCATTGGGAATTGGTGTGAAAGGTCAATTCCATAGCAAAATTTAGGCAGAAAAAAATCAAGTAAAACATTCTGTGTGTGTAAAAGGGAGTGAGAGAGAATTATTTATATAAAAAAAAAAATTTGATTACACTCACTCTTCAATTTAGAATTGTTTGTGTCTATTGTTTGTGTCTGTTTTATCCAAAATTTATACAATTCAATAAATCACAGGAATAGGGTACTTGCAGGTTTATTATTGCAAAAAATATTAACGTGTTTATGCCATGTTATACAGCAAGTCTTTTTCTAGAATTATATATTATATATTTGACTGTCAGAATATCACAATTCACCTTTTTACATTGCTGTGAGTTTATCCACTAAATAATAAATTCTTTCAAATCAACAATTTTGCCTACATTTAGGTTTTTATTGAATAAACCGCATAGTGTTAAGGAATATTTGACGTTCCTGTCCCATCTCAAACCTGTGTTCGGGTGTTTTAGGACTATGTCATGCATGACATGCTCCAATTTAAGGATAATTGGCAGTGCTTCTGAAATGGTGCTGTGTAATTTTTATAGTAGTATATTTAAAATTGATAAACATTTGCTTTTTAACCGGGACGATTAAATTAACTGCCTTATAATTTGCACCTGAACATCCATTGAATATTCTTACATTTCCGGAGTGATTGTAGTGTCGCCATTCTGGTATGTGTGCACACCGTTTGTACTGGGTTTTCAGATGGCTGTTTGTAAAATATTTTATTCATTTGCACGCAGATTAAAAGGTATTTGATTTGTTTGTCCCAGCTGAAATGCATTTGTGAGCAAGCCTAGTGTAATTAGGAGACCACAGATTATACATTATATTCTGTAATACTGAAGTTTTAGTCGCAAACTGGAGACTGGGGAGATTTAACAAGCGATTTGCGAGTTTTTGGCCAGAGTAACTGAAACTGGAAAAAAAATCTCCATCCAAGCTGTAACGAACGCTGGTGACCAGCGTTCGGGAAGTTGAGTGTCCGATTTTGGTTCCAGACACTCGAAGACCAAGTACAGCTGCCTACTTTCGTGCGAACAAGATGGCCAGTTTTCTTTGAAGTAAATGAGCCAGGGGGTGGTCGGTGTTCGGTAGTTGTATCTACTGAACAGAAAAAAAACTAAAGTACCAAAATAACTGGGGTAATTTCTCCATCCAAGCTCTTTTACCATTGCAGATATTTCAGCATAAACAATGTCATTTCGTTATAAAATCTCCACAATTCTAAGTGTGTCATCTCTGGGCACGGTCTGTGGATGGCAAGGACCTCTTATTAATTGTTAAACTGCTTGAAAAAAATGGCTTCACACTAAATGGAGGGACAGCACAAGAGGACCCTAGACACTATAACCACTTTAAGGAGATCATTAAGTCACGAAAAAGGAATGTGAATTCTACACAGTGCTGGGGTGCACTTTCAATGTGCTATCTGTCAACTTGAAAAAAATGAAACGTGTTTAAGAAGACACGGTGGGCCTGGCAACCATCATGTACAGTGCATACCCACAAATGTTTGGTTGTAAAATACAGACACTTAGAACTTTTCCGAATAAAACCACAGTGTTCTTAAAACTTGTTTTTCTGTAACAATCTGCATAACAATCACTGGGAGTTTTTACAGCTCATTAATTGTCCCATTAAAACAGACAACTACGTGCCTATTACCTAGTAAGCGTTCCCTGTTTCCTGGTTTGCCCCCACTCACATCAGTTAAGGTTATAATTTTCCTGCCAATAAAACGAAACACGATTTTCCTGAACTTGCATGGTGTGAGAAAAAACAGGAACGCGATATAGTGTGTGGGCATACTCTGTTTTAAATAGCTACCTTTGTTTAACCCTGTTCTACGAGTGATTGAAATAACACGTTTCTAAACACTGTTGCTCCCATTAATATTTTCTTAATAAACATTAACATAAAACATTAACATTTGTTTATGCTGTTGTACTCTAAACCATTTTAATTCCAGGGTGAATGTATGTTAGCCTGGCTTGTGTTAGTGTGTGAGTGTGTGTGCGTGTGACACAGTGTGCGTGTACAATTCAGGAACAGACCGGGTCAGTAACTACTAACTAGGTGTATAAAACAATCACTCTGATTTATATAGCACCAACATATTCTGCAGTGGTGTGCAAAAGGTAAACATGATAAATGTTAAATTCTAGCCTGAGACTGGCCATTTACACAGTCAGGAACTGACCATGACAGTAACTAAGAATATAGTGTGAGACTGACCATATACACAGTCAGGAACTGACCATGGCAGTAACTAGGAATATAGCCCGAGACTGACCATATACACAGTCAGGAACTGACCATGGCAGTAACTAAGAATATAGCCTGAGACTGACCATATACACAGTCAGGAACTGACCATGGCAGTAACTAAGAATATAGCGTGAGACTGACCATATACACAGTCAGGAACTGACCATGGCCGTAACTAAGAATATAGTGTGAGACTGACCATATACACAGTCAGGAACTGACCATGGCAGTAACTAAGAATATAGCGTGAGACTGACCATATACACAGTCAGGAACTGACCATGGCAGTAACTAAGAATATAGCGTGAGACTGACCATATACACAGTCAGGAACTGACCATGGCGGTAACTAAGAATATAGCGTGAGACTGACCATATACACAGTCAGGAACTGACCATGGCAGTAACTAAGAATATAGCGTGAGACTGACCATATACACAGTCAGGAACTGACCATGGCAGTAACTAAGAATATAGCGTGAGACTGACCATATACACAGTCAGGAACTGACCATGGCAGTAACTAAGAATATAGCGTGAGACTGACCATATACACAGTCAGGAACTGACCATGGCAGTAACTAAGAATATAGCGTGAGACTGACCATATACACAGTCAGGAACTGACCATGGCGGTAACTAGGAGTGTAGCCTGAGACTGACCATATACACAGTCAGGAACTGACCATGGCAGTAACTAAGAATATAGCGTGAGACTGACCATATACACAGTCAGGAACTGACCATGGCCGTAACTAGGAATATAGCGTGAGACTGACCATATACACAGTCAGGAACTGACCATGGCGGTAACTAGGAATATAGCCTGAGACTGACCATATACACAGTCAGGAACTGACCATGGCGGTAACTAGGAGTGTAGCCTGAGACTGACCATATACACAGTCAGGAACTGACCATGGCGGTAACTAGGAATATAGTGTGAGACTGACCATATACACAGTCAGGAACTGACCATGGCGGTAACTAGGAATATAGCTGAGACTGACCATATACACAGTCAGGAACTGACCATGGCAGTAACTAGGAATATAGCCTGAGACTGACCATATACACAGTCAGGAACTGACCATGGCGGTAACTAAGAATATAGCGTGAGACTGACCATATACACAGTCAGTAACTGACCATGGCAGTAACTAGGAATATAGCCTGAGACTGACCATATACACAGTCAGGAACTGACCATGGCGGTAACTAAGAATATAGCGTGAGACTGACCATATACACAGTCAGGAACTGACCATGGCAGTAACTAAGAATATAGTGTGAGACTGACCATATACACAGTCAGGAACTGACCATGGCGTAACTAGGAGTATAGCCTGAGACTGACCATATACACAGTCAGGAACTGACCATGGCGCAGTAACTAAGAATATAGCGTGAGACTGACCATATACACAGTCAGGAACTGACCATGGCGGTAACTAGAGTATAGCGTGAGACTGGCCATATACAGTCAGGAACTGACCATGGCTGTAACTAGAATATAGGTGAGACTGACCATATACGGTAAGGAACTGACCATAGCAGTAACTAAGAATATAGTGTGAGACGACCATATACACAGTCGAGAACTGACCATAGCGGTAACTAGAATATAGTGTGAGACTGACCATATACACAGTCAGGAACTGACCATGGCGGTAACTAAGAATATAGCGTGAGACTGACCATATACACAGTCAGGAACTGACCATGGCGGTAACTAAGAATATAGCGTGAGACTGACCATATACACAGTCAGGAACTGACCATGGCGGTAACTAGGAATATAGCCTGAGACTGACCATATACACAGTCAGGAACTGACCATGGCCGTAACTAGGAATAAAGCCTGAGACTGACCATATACACAGTCAGGAACTGACCATGGCAGTAGCTAAGAATATAGTGTGAGACTGACCATATACACAGTCAGGAACTGACCATGGCCGTAACTAGGAATATAGCCTGAGACTGGCCATATACACAGTCAGGAACTGACCATGGCGGTAACTAGGAGTGTAGCCTGAGACTGACCATATACACAGTCAGAACTGACCATGGGCGGTAACTAAGAGTGTAGCCTGAGACTGACCATATACACAGTCAGGAACTGACCATGGCGGTAACTAGGAATATAGCGTGAGACTGACCATATACACAGTCAGGAACTGACCATGGCGGTAACTAGGAGTGTAGCCTGAGACTGACCATATACACAGTCAGTAACTGACCATGACAGTAACTAAGAATATAGTGTGAGACTGACCATATACACAGTCAGGAACTGACCATGGCGGTAACTAGGAGTGTAGCCTGAGACTGACCATATACACAGTCAGGAACTGACCATGGCAGTAACTAAGAATATAGTGTGAGACTGGCCATATACACAGTCAGGAACTGACCATGGCGGTAACTAGGAGTGTAGCCTGAGAATGACCATATACACAGTCAGGAACTGACCATGGCGGTAACTAGGAGTGTAGCCTGAGACTGACCATATACACAGTCAGGAACTGACCATGGCAGTAACTAAGAATATAGTGTGAGACTGGCCATATACACAGTCAGGAACTGACCATGGCGGTAACTAGGAGTGTAGCCTGAGACTGACCATATACACAGTCAGGAACTGACCATGGCAGTATCTAGGAGTATAGGCTGAGACTGACCATATACACAGTCAGTAACTGACCATGGCCGTAACTAAGAATATAGCGTGAGACTGACCATATACACAGTCAGGAACTGACCATGGCCGTAACTAAGAATATAGTGTGAGACTGACCATATACACAGTCAGTAACTGACCATGGCAGTAACTAAGAATATAGCCTGAGACTGACCATATACACAGTCAGGAACTGACCATGGCGGTAACTAAGAATATAGCGTGAGACTGACCATATACACAGTCAGGAACTGACCATGGCAGTAACTAGGAATATAGCGTGAGACTGACCATATACACAGTCAGGAACTGACCATGGCAGTAACTAAGAATATAGCGTGAGACTGACCATATACACAGTCAGGAACTGACCATGGCTGTAACTAGGAATATAGCGTGAGACTGACCATATACACAGTCAGGAACTGACCATGGCAGTAACTAGGAATATAGCGTGAGACTGGCCATATACACAGTCAGGAACTGACCATGGCAGTAACTAAGAATATAGCGTGAGACTGGCCATATACACAGTCAGTAACTGACCATGGCGGTAACTAAGAATATAGCGTGAGACTGACCATATACACAGTCAGGAACTGACCATGGCAGTAACTAGGAATATAGTGTGAGACTGGCCATATACACAGTCAGGAACTGACCATGGCCGTAACTAAGAATATAGTGTGAGACTGACCATATACACAGTCAGGAACTGACCATGGCGGTAACTAAGAATATAGCGTGAGACTGACCATATACACAGTCGGGAACTGACCATGGCCGTAACTAAGAATATAGCGTGAGACTGACCATATACACAGTCAGGAACTGACCATGGCGGTAACTAAGAATATAGTGTGAGACTGACCATATACACAGTCAGGAACTGACCATGGCGGTAACTAAGAATATAGTGTGAGACTGACCATTTACATAGTCAGGAACTGACCATGGCAGTATCTAGGAGTATAGGCTGAGACTGACCATATACATAGTCAGTAACTGACCATGGCAGTAACTAAGAATATAGCCTGAGACTGACCATATACACAGTCAGGAACTGACCATGGCAGTAACTAAGAATATAGCGTGAGACTGACCATATACACAGTCAGGAACTGACCATGGCGGTAACTAAGAATATAGCCTGAGACTGACCATATACACAGTCAGGAACTGACCATGGCAGTAACTAAGAATATAGCGTGAGACTGACCATATATACAGTCAGGAACTGACCATGGCGGTAACTAAGAATATAGCCTGAGACTGACCATATACACAGTCAGGAACTGACCATGGCAGTAACTAAGAATATAGCCTGAGACTGACCACATACACAGTCAGGAACTGACCATGGCAGTAACTAAGAATATAGCCTGAGACTGACCATATACACAGTCAGGAACTGACCATGGCCGTAACTAGGAGTGTAGCCTGAGACTGACCATATACACAGTCAGGAACTGACCATGGCGGTAACTAAGAATATAGCCTGAGACTGACCATATACACAGTCAGGAACTGACCATGGCGGTAGAATATAGCGTGAGACTGACCATATACACAGTCAGGTATTGACCATGGCAGTAACTAAGAATTTAGCGTGAGACATATACACAGTCAGGAACTGACCATGGCAGGTAACTAGGAATATAGCGTGAGACTGACCATATACACAGTCAGGAACTGACCATGGCAGTAACTAAGAATATAGCCTGAGACTGACCATATACACAGTCAGGAACTGACCATGGCAGTAACTAAGAATATAGCGTGAGACTGACCATATACACAGTCAGGAACTGACCATGGCAGTAACTAAGAATATAGTGTGAGACTGACCATATACACAGTCAGGAACTGACCATGGCCGTAACTAGGAATATAGCGTGAGACTGACCATATACACAGTCAGGAACTGACCATGGCAGTAACTAAGAATATAGCGTGAGACTGACCATATACACAGTCAGGAACTGACCATGATAACTAAGAATATAGCTGACCATATACACAGTCAGAACTGACCATGACAGTAACTAAGAATATAGCGTGAGACTGACCATATACACAGTCAGGAACTGACCATGGCCGTAACTAAGAATATAGCCTGAGACTGACCATATACACAGTCAGGAACTGACCATGGTGGTAACTAAGAATATAGCGTGAGACTGACCATATACACAGTCAGGAACTGACCATGGCAGTAACTAGGAATATAGCGTGAGACTGACCATATACACAGTCAGGAACTGACCATGACAGTAACTAAGAATATAGCCCGAGACTGACCATATACACAGTCAGGAACTGACCATGGCGGTAACTAAGAATATAGCGTGAGACTGACCATATACACAGTCAGGAACTGACCATGGCAGTAACTAAGAATATAGCGTGAGACTGACCATATACACAGTCAGGAACTGACCATGGCGGTAACTAGAATATAGCCTGAGACTGACCATATACACAGTCAGGAACTGACCATGGCGGTAACTAAGAATATAGCCTGAGACTGACCATATACACAGTCAGGAACTGACCATGGCAGTAACTAGAATATAGCCTGAGACTGACCATATACACAGTCAGGAACTGACCATGGCGTAACTAAGAATATAGCCTGAGACTGACCATATACACAGTCAGGAACTGACCATGGCAGTAACTAAGAATATAGCGTGAGACTGACCATATACACAGTCAGGAACTGACCATGGCAGTAACTAAGAATATAGCCTGAGACTGACCATATACACAGTCAGGAACTGACCATGGCGGTAACTAAGAATATAGCGTGAGACTGACCATATACACAGTCAGGAACTGACCATGGCAGTAACTAAGAATATAGCGTGAGACTGACCATATACACAGTCAGGAACTGACCATGGCAGTAACTAGGAATATAGCCTGAGACTGACCATATACACAGTCAGGAACTGACCATGGCAGTAACTAAGAATATAGCCCGAGACTGACCATATACACAGTCAGGAACTGACCATGGCAGTAACTAAGAATATAGCGTGAGACTGACCATATACACAGTCAGGAACTGACCATGGCAGTAACTAAGAATATAGCCTGAGACTGACCATATACACAGTCAGGAACTGACCATGGCAGTAACTAAGAATATAGCCTGAGACTGACCATATACACAGTCAGGAACTGACCATGGCAGTAACTAAGAATATAGCCTGAGACTGACCATATACACAGTCAGGAACTGACCATGGCGGTAACTAGGAGTATAGCCTGAGACTGACCATATACACAGTCAGGAACTGACCATGGCAGTAACTAAGAATATAGCGTGAGACTGACCATATACACAGTCAGGAACTGACCATGGCAGTAACTAAGAATATAGCGTGAGACTGACCATATACACAGTCAGGAACTGACCATGGCAGTAACTAAGAATATAGCGTGAGACTGAACACATACACAGTCAGGAACTGACCATGGCGGTAGCTAGGAGTATAGACTGAGTGACAATGAAACTGCATTTTGGTTGATTTTGGGCAGATCAGGTGATTCTTTAAATTCCCGAACTCTAAATGTAGCCGCATCATAAACAAAACGCGCAATGGACGAACATGTTCGCTTTAATTTGCAATTCTGAAATTGATGGGAAAAAAAGATTGATGGCTGGGGGACAGTCACAATGATTTCATTTATGGATCATGTGAGAAGTGACCAGTAGAGCGGAAAAAGGAGAGGCAATGAAACAATCTATATTTGTATTATATTAATTTAATAAATATGAATTTATATAAGTAGATTTCTTACTCATGAAACAATACCAAACACATTGGAAAACAAAACCACAGAGAGTCATAGTGTATTGACCACCAGCATACACACCAGATGCTTGTAAAATGCATTCACAGGAAAACAGAATAAAACGGTATATCAACGCCTTTTCGCATGCGCAATGTAGTATTCAGATAGAAGATCACCACAAACGCTGATCGCAGCACGTTTCATGTACTAAAGGTAGTGTAAATATCGACTTACGATTTGACGAAAATGTTCTGCAATAGCATCGATGATAAAAATTACTACACTCAAATCAGCTTTTGTGCTGTTTTCCTAGTAGAAGCCGGCACAAAATGTGTCGAATGATATTATAAAAAAGAAAAATTCGGCAAAAGAATATACGCTAGTGATTAAAGAGAAAGATTTCTGAACTGTAAGAGGATGACATTTCAATTATTTATATAGCGGCACCATATCCCATAATGCTGTACAATAGGTGAAACAAGACAAACAATTCAAACAAAACAAGTCTGACATGCAGGAACAACAGACGATGGGCCCTGCCCAAATGAGCTTGCAATCTAAAACATTTTGTTTAGGTGTTTTCCGTGATCAATGTCACGTGTTCTTTAGTGTTTTTTAAATTCAATGCATTGTTCTTTAAACCCTATATTATCTTTCGAAGGAGGGAAATGAAAGTCATTATCATTTTTCAGGTCACATTATTCGTTGATTGAGAACAGTCACCCAACAAGAAGAAACTTGTCTCTTTCAAAACTTCCTTCATTTATTTTTAAATGCAATAAGCAGTGATATATTGCTTGCCAGTGATTTGCAGTTATTTTTTTTAGCTTTATATTAAAATCAACATCATGAGTTCACATGTACGGTTTTTGTGAAAGGGATGTTAAACAGACCTGCTGTCGTTGAAAATGTTGTCATATGAACTAGTACCATCAGAAACTAAAGGATTAAATGCTATGTGATATATTTGTGTATATATATATTTTTTTTATTTAAGCTATATCGAAACATAGGAACTCATATATGTAAAGACATGTTTTTAATTTATTTATTTTTATTTTGAATACAAGTTAAAAATCACAGTTAAAGGTATAACTCCACTTCTGACAGTGTTATTTGCTAGCCAAGAATAACAGTTCCATGCTGGCTAATGTCGATTCTGTACAAATTTCGATCCACAGATGCTCTCAGCCAATCAATGAGCAGCAGGATCGGCAGATGCTGGATGCACTGAATCGGCCTCTAAAGAAGAGCTAGAGCCCGGGGACTCATGTAAGAGGGCAAAGCGTTACAATTTGGTGGTCCCCTTTAGTGGGTTAGGGAGCCAGGGTACTCCTTCCATCATAACCACTACAGTGGGCTGGAGTAACCCTTTCATATCCGTATGGAATAGAGTCACAATGTCATTATCATAGCGAAATCGAAAACATAGAAAATAAAAAAAAATCCATAGTTTTTCACAATGGGCAAGAAAGACTACTTGCCAAAATATAGGAGGATGTTTTATACACGCTGTATATCTGCTCCCATTTCTGCTATAGGTGGTGGTTGTCATTGCTTTTGAGTATGTAAATCTCACTAAATTATTCGTATTCTTTGCTCTGCGTTTTTTTTGGGATAGATTTCTTGTTTTTTGTATCACAATAAGATATCTATCACATATCTCTATGTATGATTTTCCGTGTTTTGATGTTGCTATTTATTATGATAATGACATTGTTACTTGCTGTAACCTATGGATATTATGTGTGATTTTTAGTATGTATTAGTTTTGGTTCCATCAAAATACTTTACACATTTAAAAGCCATCTTAATTAATATAATAAGTCCTAGTATCATAATGACTTAATTTAGGGGGGCAATCAGAGCAGCTGCCCTCTGTAGATTCCTTCCCACAAGAACCCAGAGTAAATTGTAACTATGTGTCCACATTCTGTATTCCTCAGCATGTAGAACAGTCATGTGACGGGAGGTACCTGTCACATGGTTTTCATATAACCTAATACAAGATGGCCACATACCATGCCAACATCTTGTGAGACTAAAGACGAACAATAGATCAACCTGTCTGCTTTAGGACAACTGGTGGACAAGGTGTCCGGAATAATGGAGACCCAAATTTATGACGCATAAGCCAGAATCTGACAAATTAATATATAAAATGAAATACCATTACGTATTCGGTGATGGCTGTGCTGAATGAAATACCTCAGAGGAAGCAAAAAGGATATCTGACTGGGTAATCATGGTCTATTCTTCTAAATAAGATTTGGGGCTTCAAAAAAGCTCAGTGTGAAAATAAACTTCAAGCCTTGTGAATCGGAGAACAGAATAATAAAATATGTAAACAAGTTCTTAAAAAAGTAATTGGGGTCCTGGTTCAGAAGGTATTTAAAGGGACAGGGAGAGATCCCATCAATTTCCAAATAGTGCAGCCAAACGCGCAATTGAGCATGCGTGCCAATGAAGCATCATTTAGAGTGATACTCAGATAATTCATAATGGGACTGGAATCCATGAAAGATAATGGCAGTTTACTGCATCAGCATTAATAACAGACAATGTCTGTGGATGGATACAGAAACACGTTCATGGCCACAAGGGAGTCTTCCAATTGGTAATATGACACCTACGGGGTACTCAAAGTGTACATTTTAAGGAATTTTAAATTAAGTTTTATCTATTTTGGTCTAAACTGTGTATATAACATTGCCCTAAACATTGCAGTTTGTAAAAATGTTAATATAATTATATATCTTTTATTTTTACAAACAAATGGATGAATGGACACATAAGTAAAATGAAGGTCACGTGACATATTATCACATATAGTATAAAGAAGATTGCAAATGTTACAATAGGGGCTATACATTCCAATATCCAAAGTTAAAACAGTTTACGTTATTGGCTGGCTGAGAATATTGAGAGTTGTAGCATTACTGGTTAATGGAATGATAATAACTAGGATGGAATAAATAGCACGGACTATGATCCAAAAGGACCAGTGACCACAAGCCAGCCACGGACTGCAGGTTTGATATTTTCAGACCAGAACTGGCACCATGCTGGTGGGACTGAAAAGTTGAAACTTCAGTCCTAGGCCGGTTTCTGGTCACGGGTCCTTCTGAATCACAGCCCATGCTATGGCTTAAAAAAAACTGCATTGAAAACGGCATCCATTGCTAAGGGTACTTGCAGAAATACAATATGAAATCCAAAACACGATACCTGAGTGGGTTCATTTACATGTCAAGCTGGGAACTCTGGGATAGCATTGAAAACATGATTCCTTGAGTTTCTGGGTGCAAGGAGAACCCCTCAAAGTGCAGGTGATGCATAACAGTTATTTATAATATACCGTATATACTTGAGTATAAGACGAGTTTTTCAGCACATTTTTTGTGCTGAAAACCCCCCACTCGTCTTATATTCGAGTCAGTGTCTGTATTATGGCAACTTACATTGCCATAATACAGACAAGGACCGCCGGGCTCATTACAAGCCTGGCGGTCCTGTTGGGGGCTGGCAGCGAGCTGTTACTTACCTTTACTGCAGCTCCTGTCAGCTCCCTTCTCTCTCCTCCGGTCCGGTCAGCTCCCCTGTAAGTCTCGTGAGAGCCGCGGGGTCAGAGCGTTGCGACACTCAGACCGCGAGACTTACAGTGGAGCTGACCGGAACAGAGGAGAAGGGAGCTGACAGGAGCTGCAGGAAAGGTAAGTTACAGCTCTCTGCAGGGAGGGGGGGACGAAAAAAATATAAATAAATAAAAATTTAAATAATAATAAAATAAATATAAAATATTAATAATATATATAAAAAATTATAATATTAAAATAATAATAATAATTAAAAAAAATTAATAAAAATGCCCACCCCCCCACCAGGGCTCTGCATCACACACACAAACACACTCTGCATCACACACTGCATTCATACACACACACACTGCACTCATACACACACACACTGCACTCACACACACACACACACACTGCACTCATTCACACACACTGCACTCATACACACACACTGCACTCATACACACACACACACACACACACACACAGCATTCATACAAACACACTGCATTACATACACACACACACACTGCATTCATACACACACACTGCATTCATACACACACACACTACACTCATACACACACACTACACTCATACACACACACACTGCATTCATACACACAAACTGCATTATACACACACACACACACACACACACACACACTGCATTCATTATATACACATACTGTAAATAAATATTCAATTAATATAATTTTTTGGGGATATCATTTTATTTAGAAATTTACCAGTAGCTGCTGCATTTCCCACCCTAGTCCTATACTCGAGACAATACGTTTTCCTAGTTTTTTGGGGTAAAATTAGGGGTCTCGACTTATATTCGGGTCGACTTATACTCGAGTATATACGGGTATATAACAGCTGATGATTTTGTGAGTTAAGGAATGGCTCAAACAGCTATCTATGTAACTGAGTTATGGATTTTTAAACAAAGTTTATGATCAAAGAGTGGGTTATTTAGGTAATCTCACAATCCAAACATGTGTCACTTAGCTAATTCTATGATTGAAGAATGGGTGGATGAGCAATTTTTTCTCCAAATTAAGATTAAGCTACCAAGCGAGTGCAATTTATATCAGTTGGACCCCTGTCAAAAAAGAAGAAGGGTTACTGTAATAAAGAATGCTTAAATGATCGATTACTTTATTGGACTTGAGACAAAGATGGGGATCAGCTGCTTATCTTTGAGAAACCAAACCTACCGAATCCAAGGTTTCCATGGAAAGTCCCTAGCTGTCTCTCACAATCCTACAATCCTGCTGTCATGGCTACTAGCCCAGGTTTTACAGAAAACAACTAATCTTCTCCTTTCTGACATACAATAATCTTGGTTTAGATGGGTTTTATGGTAACTCATTCAGGTTTTGTTGTTTGACGAATAACCAGCACATAAAAGTAGGACACAGGAGCAGCTGTATATAGATTTCGATTATTGTGAAATATCCAAAATATGCATTCATTAAGGGCAGTTTTTTTATTTGTCCTCTATTTACGGAAGCATTATGAGGTTTTAATTATTAGAGATTATGCAGTATCACTTATTAATATCTAACAGTATACTTAAAATATGTAAAAACTAATTAAATATAAAAAACACGAATGGTCACATACTCGAGTTACGGATATTTGTAAGGAATCTGTTGGCATGCTTGGAAATTCATATTATCGAACATTTATCCATGCTGTCCTGTGTGCAGGAGGTGGAAAGGGGGGGCACCATTTACAGGGCCTCTCTCCCAAATTAGTATCTCATAAAGGCCAGGACCAGGGCTGGAGCAGAGTTCAATCTGTCTAGATTTATTGTGCTGTGTGCCCTTTGATCCTGTGAAACAGATACCATGGACAGCATATACTTTGTAGGTAGTGAATGGGGTTAATGTTCAGTTTTTTGATTTTTTTAAAAATGATCTACAAACTCTAAACTATAGTCAGACAGCCTCCACCAGGCGTGACAAACACTCATGTAAGAGCCGAAACATTGCTTTTGCATTTTGTTCCTGAATAAGAGGATGGCTTTTTGAAGCAACCACTAGGTGTGCCTGGATTCTTGTGAAACATGGCGTGGTATTTTGGGGATTTGCCCCCCTTATTCTCGCCACCCTGGCGGAATGGCTCCCTTGTATTGTGTGCATTATCCTCTTTCTGTTAGAAGCCTCCGCCAGTCCATCTGTCACCATTCTAAACGCAGCGTCATGTACTTTTAGATTAATGATTGTTTGGGCAGGGCCCTAGTTACCTACTCTTTGTCAAATGTGTTTTGCTAGAATTGTCTTGTTTTACCTATTGTACAGTGCTGTGAAATATGTTAGCGCTATATAAATAATTTGTTTTGGTGCAACAAGCTTGTCCCTATATCCCCGGCATTGTAAATACTATCTATTCTGTCTGTGCAATTTACCCCTAAGAACACTTTTAGACAGCCAATAGAGAAAGTTTGCAGAATTGGCGTTTATCGTCCTCCCAGGCCGGGCATGAAGACGTACAACGTTTCCTATTGAGATGTATTGGTATACATACACCACTAGGGGAAGCACTGATTGACACAGTGAGGTACATGCGCAGAAGCCCCCCCTCTGCTACTCTGCGCAGTCTTCTCCATCATAAGTATGATCTCACCAAGGGGCGGGTAGGTGGCCACAGCAAGGGAATAAAGGCAATTAAAATGTATGTATTTTCATCTCAGAGGGGGCCCATAAATCTAAACCACTAGGTACAAATTCCAATGCTAGAAACACATGTTTGTATTTATACTGTTAGAATTTCCCCTTAATAACTGATTGAGTGTCAGTCATAGTTTTAGAACTCGTGCTGGGGGAGTAATAATTGTAGTTTATCATCAGCTGAACATTTACACTTTATCAATCCTTGTCTTAACCCTTTCAGTAACAAGAAATTGGAATACATTCCCCTCTCGTGTTCTAAATGGAATGCTTCAAGGATTACTAAAGATTGAAAACTAAAATTATTAGATTAAATGTTTTAATGGTTCTCTTTGCACAAACTCTTTAAAGGGACACTATAGACATCCAGACCTATAGACTTAATCTAATTAAAGTGCTCTAGGTGCAATGTCTCTGTCTCCTTAGTCCTGCAAAGTAAAAAATTGCCGTTTTCGGGAAACTACAATGTTTACATTGCAGTACTAAGCCTGCGTCTAGTGACTGTCTACCGGGAGTGTACCGGACCTTAGGTTGCCCAAACTGTGCTGGACGTTCTCAATGCTCTGCTTGTTGACTTACAGCTTCAGTAAAATCCTCATAGGAAAGCATTTAGGCAATAATTTCCTACGGGGAGGGCCTAATGCTCTTGCGCGAGACATTGGAAGAGGCAGAGTGCCGACCCAGCACCGAGGGACATTGGCGCTGGAATAGGGTGAGTAAATAAAGGTTTTTTTTGCAGTGCTGGAGGGGTGAAGGGGAGGGCGAGGGAGGAGGACCCAGGGGGCACTATAGTGAAAGTAATACAACTTCATATTCCTTACACTGTAGAATCCCTTTAACTAGTGGCTGTGAAAGGGTTACAAATATGGCAAACAATCTCGAAAACTGGACATTTTCAGAGAAAACATAATAATCATCATGGGAATTAAATCACAAACGTTTCTAGCTCTCCCCCAGGGAACTAGAAGCAACAGAGAATAACTCAAATAGAAGTCTTGCTTTCCAGTGGAAGAATTTTCTGAAAGCATTTGATTAATCTATAAAGCACCAACATAGTCCGCATCGCTGAACAACAGCTAAACAAATAACTCAGCGCACAGTAAAAGCTGCCACTCACTTTGAACAATAAATATGCCATTTTAACAAAAGTCCCGTATTTTGCTTGGTATAATTAATTTAAAATCACTGTGTATTTCGTGATTTGATTTAGTAGACCATTTTTATTTTTTATTTAACATAATTCTAAATATTCTCAGAAACTATAGATAAAACGACCTGCAGAGATCACGCAATCGAATCAGCTCCTTGCATTTATTTTGCTTCAATCAGAAATAACATATCAGATTCAGCAATACCACAAGTGCAATCTGGGCCCCTGCCTTAGGATGGATGCCCTGTGGATGGTTGTCTGTAAATGGTACAGTGGCACAAGGATTGCATAATGTAAGGGTACCATAACAACAAAACTATTACTCTGTTTGTGTACAATCCATTCCTCCCATTATGTCTTTAAGTGACTCCTTTTAAAGTCTGTCTTAGGATGTATAGCCCTCTCTGGCTGGGTATCTGCTTACATAGAGACTCCAGCATGTTATAAGCAGTGATTGGATTTGCAGAGAAACTGACGGAATTCTGGATAAAGATTCATTTGCGAGAAAGTGGAGCAATCAGCAACAACATTCTGTAGGTTTCCATGGAGACTGCTGCAGGCTAATAATGTTGTCCCAGAATCTCTCTCCATATATATCCCAATTATTCCTGGGCTGTCTGTACGCACGGTCACTTCCCACAGCTCACTCCGTTCCAAGCTCCAGTTTACAAACTGTGAATTATCTCTTTCTTAACACATTATCACCATCCTTGTAACTTTCCCAGTCTTAGGGAAGAGGTGAATTATTTTAACCCCTTAAGGACCAATGTCGGTCTGTGCAGTCAACAATTGGATCTTATCAAATGGATCGTATCAAAAAGAATCATATTGCAAAATAAATTGTGATGTTGACATAAAGATTACATTGTCCTTTAAGGAGTTAAATCAAAGTATAACTGTTGAAAAGTCTTATGGTGTCCTGGTACTTCAGGAGTTAGGTCATACACTAACAATATCCTACAAGAGTCCTAGTGACAGATACAAAGTACATATTCTCTGCTTACGTTAACGCTATATCTATAATGCAGTTTAGTTGCAAGTTCAACAATGCAAGTTAACTATGTAACTGCCAGAGTACGTCATAACAAACTTGTAGCTTTGACTTAAATATTTATGAAACATTGAAATGTACTGCACAACGCATCATTAAATAATTGGCGTGCACTATGAATGGAAGATGGGGTGATGATCTCTTTACCTTATCTGCAGTAGAAGATGAGTTGATTATTGATTTGTTTAAGAAATAATTTTGAAAGACTCTTGAATTCATTCATCACTATTCCTTGCTGATCCTATGCAGGGAGCGTCTCTGGAAACTTTGCTTCTTTGAACAGGAACTAAGACATTTTAAAGGAAATATCCTGATATCCTTATATGGGACTCTGCCTGTTTTAATTTATGTTAACCGCAGGATGTGAGCCCGCCGCCAGGTCTTAGTGCTAGTGGTGTTAGAGGGAAGGTATTATTAGTGCATTAGGAATGCACCATGTTCATGTCACTCTCAGTCTGTGAGCGATTATCATATAGTGTGCATCTGGGGTTCTTTCTATATAACACATTTCTCGGTAAGTTATTGCTGTAACTTGCATGCAGTTTAGATTATTATTTTCTTATGCTGCGTATTTCGGGCACAATGTCTGTGCTGTAACAGTGAAAAGTCCATTGTGGCCGAGTACTCATTTTTGCTCAAAACGTCCATGTCTTTTCCATGAAAATTGCTCCACGAGAATAAATATGAACACTGGAATGAGTACCTCCTCGTTGTCATTCCTGATGTGAATGATAGTTCCTGCCTCCCTGCTGTCTAGCAGATGTGCACTGATGGGAAAACATCATGAAACCACACAGAGATCACATTTTACAAGACTTGCAGGACGATCGTGCGTCTGTGATATTCACAACTTTTATGTCCTTTTTGCTACTGTGAAAAGTGCTTTGAGGCACCCTTTAGCCTTGTGTATGGCGTAAAAACTTGTTTTAGTTAGTCAGAATTTTATCCACCGTAGAAGATTCAGGAAAACACAAACCAAAATGGTGTGAAAATGGACCAGTTCACGGCAAAATACAGATAATGTAAATATTATGTATATATTTAACAGAACACCGATAGGAGCCTGTTACACGCCATTTGCATCACAGATCAAGCGAGACGAGAAAGAAGATGAGCAGTATTACATCTGTCTATATATTAATATACTTTAATTAAATAAATTATATATATGTATACATTTTTTCACTGCTCCTTTTTTCGCTCTTTTGGTCATTTCTCACGGGATCTGTGAGTAAAAGTAACATTTAGCGAATGTCCGCTAGACATCAGTCATCTTTTTTTCCCACCAATCATCAATTTTTTTGGTGTCATGGGCAGAACTCTGAATCACAAATCTAATGAACGTGCTTGTCCATTGCGTCCAAGTCGTTTGTTTCGTAATTAGTCTACACGGCGGTTTGTAAAGCAGACATGCGGAGGATCACCCGACTGGTCCAAACTCCAACAAATTTTAATTTCTGTAATATTTCTGCATGAAAAGCTGACAATTAGAAAGTGTTTTTAAAGGGACCAGGGCTAGCACAGGGGGCCCAGGAGGTGGCCGGCTGGCCACCTTAGATTTCCCCCAAGGCAGTGGAGTTGCTGGGGGGCAAGAAGGAGCCACGGCCACCCCCCCCAATGAGATGCCATCCAGACCCACCAGTTCCTGTGCACTAGGTGAGTGGCTCCTCAGTCTTTTAGCACAGCTTTGTGTTTCCTTTTTCTTGGTGCCAAACAGCTACTTGAAATATGCTGCCCGGCACCGAGTGTCAGCCTGCTGCATACTTTGAACATAGAAACATCGAAACATAGAATGTGAGGGCAGATAAGAACCACTCGGCCCATCTAGTCTGCCCAATTTTCTAAATACTTTCATTAGTACCTGGCCTTATCTTATAGTTAGGATAGCCTTATGCCTATCCCACGCATGCTTAAACTCTACTCGCTGGGGTTGTATGGCTGGTCATTCCTGTGAGCTGCTGCGGCACTCCTCTGAGGGAGCTCCTATCTATAACAGCTTTGCCTGTACAACACCTTTGCACGCCCTGTAGAGGTGCCGGGAGCCGGAATGTGACGTCACTCCAACCCAGGCACCATCTCAAAGAGGGTGAGGGGGCTGTACTCAGAGGAGTGCAACTGCCGCCCAGGTTGTGGATCGCTCCAGTTCTCCTATAAGCAAGGAGTGGGTGGCCCAAAAAATATCTGTGGGTGTGTGAGATTGTGTCTGTGGTTCGTCTCAGTGTTTTTGAGTGTGTTTTACTATGTATGTCTGTGCCCACAATACTTCCCCCAATCCCCCAACTAAAGCCCTAATCCCCCACAATACTTCATCTAACCCCCAAAACTACCCCTATCCCCCACACCAAAGCACTTATCTTGTACAAAGCTGCCCCTATCCCACCACACTAAAGCCCCAATGCCCACAATAGTGTTCCTATCCCCCTTCCCTACTAAAGCCCCAACCCCCCACAATACTGCCTTTGTCACCCACACTAAAGAATCAATACCCCACAATATGACCCCTGTCCCAATCACAATAAAGCCCCATACCCCACAGTATTACCCCTCTCTAAATCCCCTATCCCACACAATACCTCTCCTATTCCACACATTAAAGCACCTTTTAACGTACCCTACAATGCAGCCGTTATCCACTCACACTACAGCCACTATTGCACCCACAATGCCACCATATATCCCCCTCCCATATATTTATCCTGCTTGGTCAGTGAGTGTTTTTCAAATCAGTGAAAGTGTGTGTCTGTCATTAAGAGTGTGTGCCAGTTTGTCTGTCAGTAAGTGTGTATATGTGTGCCTGGCATTGACTTTTTTTCAAATCAATGAGAGTGTGTGTCTGTCATTGAGAGTGTGTCTGTCATCTGGAGTGTGTCTTTCAGTGAGTGAGTGTGTGTGTGTCAGTAAGAATGTCTGTCAATGTGTATGTGTGTCTGTCAGTGTGTGTTTTAAATCAGTGACATTGTGTGTCTGTCAGTGAGTGTGTCTGTCAATAAGTGTGTTTCAAATCAGCGAGATTGTGAATCTGTCATTCAGAGTGTGTGTGTCTGTGTATTTGTCAGTGAGTGTGTGTCTGCCAGTGTATGTCAAATCAGAGAATGTATGTGGCTCTCAGAGAAAGTGTGTGACTGTCAGTGAGTGTATGTCAGGGAGTATGTTTTATATCAGTGAGTTGTGTCTGTCATTGAGAGTGTGCCGGTGTGTCTGTCAGTGAGTATGTGTCAGCAAGTGTGTCTGTCAGTGCATGTTTCAAATCAGTGAGATTGTGTCTGTCAGGGATTGCCTGTCTAAAAAGCTTGCAAAAAGTGCAGATATCTTGTCTACAACCTTTGCAATCCCTCCCCTTCTAACCCGGCCCATATTTTCTGTGGCTGTCCAATCACAGACTTTCTAATACAACTCAGTTTGAAGTCTTTGCAAAGCAGGTGCTCTGAGCAATTGCCCATCTCTTGAGCTTTTTTCAACCAAGCTAACCAAACCAGGAAGTAACACCCGTTGTCTGATTGAAAGAAAGGAAGGCTAACGTGCTTTAGAAGTCTAGCGTGTCCCTTTAAAGCAGGACATCACCACACTGACTTTCTGTTTATCTCATTGATTTTCACCATGTTTGTCAGGTTTGTTTGCCTTCTATATTCTCAATGTACACTGCTTCGGTACTCCAGGTACTATAAATCTATAGCTTGTAAGCTTGTTTGAGTAGGGTCCTCAGCAACCTAGTGTTACTGTAACATTTTGTTTTAATTGTCTCATCTATTTTTACATTTCCTCTTTATCATATGGTAAAGTGCTGCGGAGTAAATTAGTGCTATATAAATACCAATAGTAATAATAATTTTAATAATAATGTAAATGTAATAGTTGGCATTATATAAATGCAAATAAAAATAGTAATAATGTATTACTATAGGCATCAAAACTACTTTAGCTAAAAGGAACACTAACAAACATGTATTCCTGACATTCTATTTCAAGCATGTCAAACTTGCGCTTGTGAGCCATATGCGGCCCACAATAAACATCTCTGCGGCCACCTGCCCTGGGGCTGTTTTGTGCTGTGGCTGTGACCAGCCGCAAGACAGGAAAGATCTTTCCTGTCTGATTCTTGTCTTCCCTCCCACTGCCGATGGCGTGCTCCCGCGGCCACTCCTGCTTGGAGTGCCAGCCACTCCCCCTTCCCTCCTGCTCACAGTGCCAGCCACTCCCCCTTCCCTCCTGCTCGGAGTGCCAGCCACTCCCCCTTCCCTCCTGCTCACAGTGGCAGCCACACCCCCTTCCCTCCTGCTCGCAGTGCCAGCCACTCCCCCTTCCCTCCTGCTCGCTTTAACAACCACTCCCACTTCCCTCCTGCTCGCAGTGACAGCCACTCCCTCTTCCCTCCAGCTCGCAGTGCCAGCCACTCCCCGTTCCCTCCTGCTCGCAGTGCCAGCCACTCCCCCTTCCCTCCTGCTCGCAGTGCCAGCCACTCCCCCTCCCTCCTGCTCACAGTGGCAGCCACACCTTCCTCCTGCTCTGTGCCAGCCACTCTCTCCCTCTCCTGCTCATAATGCCAGCCACTCCCTTCCCTCAACTCACAGTGCCAGCCACTCCCCTTCCCTCCTGCTCATAGTGCCAGCCACTCCCCCTTCCCTCCTGCTCGCAGTGTCAGCCACTCCCCCTTCCCTCCTGCTCATAGTGCCAGCCACTTCCCCTTCCCTCCTGCTCGCAGTGCCAGCCACTCCCCCTTCCCTCCTGCTCATAGTGCCAGCCACTCCCCCTTCCCTCCTGCTCGCAGTGCCAGCCACTCCCCCTTCCCTCCTGCTCATAGTGCCAGCCACTCCCCCTTGCTTGAGCAGAGAAGAGGGAACTGGAGGATGGGCGGCTCATCTTAAGGTAGTGGAAGTGTATTAAATTGAGGGGTGAGAGGGCAGTGTATTAAATTAGAGTTGAGGGAGGTAGACAGTGTATTAGAATGTGGGAGGGGGCAGGGTATTCGATTAAGGGGAAGTGCATTAGGTTGGGTGGAGGGGGCAGTGTATTATTTTGGGGGCAATGCAGTGTATTAAATTGGGGCGTGAGAGGGCAGTGTATTAAATTGGTGTAGGGAGGGGCAGTGTATTAAATTAGAGTTGAGGGCGGTAGGGAGTGTATGAGATTAAGGGGCAATGCATTAGATTGGGTGGAGGGGGCAATGTATTGGATTTGTGACAGTGTATTAGAATGTGGGAGGGGGCAGTGTATTAGATTAGATCTGCATGGAGGCGCTGAACGCTCCCCATGAAAATGCTGATTTGCCGTACAGTTTTTTGCCACACATGCATAATAGCCTCCCAGTGCTTTCCTATGGGAAAGCATTGGATTTGCTAAGATCATCATGTTTGAGTGAAGAATATCCCTGCTCCCTTTTTCCTCAAAGCTTCTGGAAAGACTTGTTTTTACCTGTCTGACTTGCTTCCTCAATTCCAACTCTCTCCTTGACCCTTTTCAGTCTGGCTTCCACCCTCTCCACTCTACTGAGACTGCTCTTATTAAAGTCACTAACGACCAAATCACTGCTAAATCCAAAGGGCATTACTCTATACTAATTCTTCTTGACCTCTCTGCTGCCTTTGACACTGTTGACCATGTTCTCTTTCTCCAAACTCTTCAATCACTCAGTCTCTGTGACTCTGTCCTCTCTTGGTTTTCCTCCTATCTCTCCCAATGCTCATTCAGTGTCTTCTTTTCTAATGATACCTCCTCCCTTCGCCCTGTCTCTGTTGGAGTCCCCTGAAGACTCTGTACTTGGACCCCTTCTAGTTTCTGTTTATACTGCCTCTCTTGGCAAACTTATTACCTCATTTGGATTCCACTACCACCTGTACGCTGATGACACTCGGAAATACCTCTCCTCCCCGAACCTCTCCCCTGCCGTCCTGCATCATGTCAATGCTTGCCTTTCTTCCATATCTGAATGGATGTCCTCCCACTTTTTGAAAGTCAATCTCTCTAAAACTGAACTCCTTGTCTTTCCTCCTCCTAATACTGATCTCCCTGTTTCGCTCTCCCTTCAAGTGAGTGGTACCACATTAGTCCATCCTTGCAAGTGCGCTGTCTTGGCGTTAAACTTGATTCTGGCCTCACATTTGAGCCTCACATTCAGTCTGTTATCAAATCCTGTAGATTCCACCTTAAAAACATAACCCGCATCCACCCATTTCTTACACAAGATGCTACTAAGGAGTGTTTTAAAAAGTAAAACTTATCACGACCATGATATCACCTGTAAAAGTGCAGTTTTTGTTTTAAAGAAATGCAAAAAAACTAATAAAAATGCTAACTTTGGCCAGAGTTTGTGACACACCTATACATGGGTGGTATCACTGTGTGCGGGAGATGTTGCTGAACACATATTGGGGTGTTCTTTGGCAGTAACCCTTAAAGTTCTCAGTACATGTATTTTTAAATTGCTATGTGTGTAAAAAAATTTCATTTTTTTGTTGTTTTTTTTTACATCGATTGGTGTTAAAATGGTTTCATGAAAACAGTCAAAATACCCCAAGTTTAATACCTTAGGTTTTCTTCTTTTAAAAAATATATACATGTGAAGGGTTATTCAGGGATTCCTGACAGATATCAGAGTTACAATGTAATTCATTAATTTTGAAAAAAAAAAAAACGGTTTGGAAATTGCAAAGTGCTACTTGTACTTATTGTCCTATAACCTTCCACAAAAAAAAAAGCGAAGAACATGTTAACATTGTGTATTTCTAAACTCAGGACAAAATTTTGAAACTATTTAGCATGGGTGTTTTTGGCAGTTGTAGATGCGTAACAGATTTTGGGGGTCAAAGTTCAAAAAAGTGTGTTCTTATATTTTTTCATCATATTTTCTATATTTTTTTTATTGTAAATTATATGATATGATGAAAATAATGATATCTTTAGAAAGACCATTTAATGGCGAGAAAAACAGCATATAATATGTGTGGGTACAGTAAATGAGTAAGAGGAAAATTACAGCTAAACACAAACACCGCAGAAATGTAAAAACAGCCCTGGTCCTTAACGGTAGGAAAATTGAAAAACGGTCTGGTCAGTAAGGGGTTAATGAAGAATTCTCCCTGCTCAATTAGGACTTAAATCACTTTTTTTCTGTTTATGCAGAATTAGCCACACCTCCCCTGGCTGGGACTGACACAGTCTACAAGAAAAAAAAATGGCTTCATGTTCAATCCAATCTTAACTTACTTTAATGTTAAGTATGTCAATTTAACTTTAATCGCACACACAAGGCAATTACAGGATCTAGCAAGCTATTAACGAAGCGCAAGATAATAAATTATACATTAAACAGAATTTGCTATTAGGATGTTTAAACGTTAGATCTCACTTTACAGGAAGTGTAAAGGAAGGATGTGTAAGTCACAGGCAGGGAGGTGTGCCTAGGGCTGTATAAACAAAGTGATTCAACTCCTAAATGGCAGAGAATTGAGCAGTGATTACATAGAGGCATGATCTATACACCAAAACTACTTAATTAAAGGGACACTCCAGGCACCCAGACCACTTCTGTCAATTGAAGTGGTCTGGGTGACAACTCTTAACCCTGCAAGTGTAATTATTGTCGTTTTTTTAAACTGCAATAATTACCTTGCAGGGTTAACTCCACCTCTAGTGGCTGTCTACTAGATAAAAGGCCTATACTAAATCATCCTCAGTAATGCAGGGCTTTTTGCGCGGTCTAACATTTGTACAGCACTACAAAATATGTTGGTTCTCTATAAAAAAAAAAAAACATTATCAAAACATACAGTACTCAGGGTGATATAATGTTTATCCATTAACATTTGAGCTGTGCAACTTTAATAACTGACTTGAAAAAATTACTATAAATCCAAAAAAGCAGATCTGATCAATTTGTGCAATTTTATACTGGCCCAATTTTGTTAGTTAGTTATCAACTCATCACAATTTGCTCTTTAGAGTATTAGTCCTTTGCTTACTGATATTAAACTTTGCATAGAGAGTACCTTAACCTCTTAAGGACACATGACATGTGTGACATGTCATGATTCCCTTTTATTCCAGAAGTTTGGTCCTTAAGGGGTTAAACATAAACAATAGATTATCGCAGCGGTTCCCAAACTGTGTGCCGTGGGGCAGCGACGGGCACACAGCAGCACCGGGAAATGTTTCAACGGTGCAATGATTATAGCACTGCAAAACATTTCTGTTGAACAGGGGCCCAGTCGGGTGGCTCTTTAAGACCGCGACCGGGCCCCTGTAGTGGTGGCAGGCTGGGAAGAAGTGACAGCCTGTCAATTCCTCCCAGCATCATGCATGGAGACAGCACAGGGCAGAGAGGAGACAGCTACAGAGGCAGCATGAGGGGAGCAGAGCATGAAGAGCTGCTCCAGACGCCTCACTCCCACCAGCCAGCAGCAGGACCAGACCTCCAATCGAGCCACCCTCCTGGACACACAAGGTAAGCTAACAGGATGGTGGATGCATATATAAAAATTATCACTTGTATGTGTTTGTCAGATTGTGTGTGTGTGTATGTGTGTGTATATATATGTCTATGTCCTTCTGTGTGTGTGGCTGTGTGTGTGGCTGTGTGTGTGCACACTTCTGTGCGCACACATCTCAGTGTCAGACCGTGCATCTGTGTATGTGCATTTGTGTGTCAGGGTGTGTGTTTTTGTGTCAGTGTGTGTACCTTTGTCATGGTGTGTGCATGTGTCAGTGTTTGTGTGTGTGTCAGGGTGTGTTTTTTATGTCAGTGTGCATATCTGTGTCATGGTTTGTGCATGTGTCAGTGTTTGTGTGTAACATGGTGCGTGTATCTGTGTGTCAGAGTGTGCGTTTGGTGTGTATGTGTCAGTGTATGTGTGTGTTAAAGTGTGTGTATTAGTCAGTGTGTGTGTATGTTGGTGTATGCATGTGTTAAGATGTGTGTATGTGTCAGTGTGTGTGTATGTCTGTGTATGCATGTGCTAAGGTGTGTGCGTGTGTCAGTGTGTGTGTGTATGTGTGTGAATCTATGTGTGTGTGTACCTCTCAGAGTCTATATGAATTTGTGTGTATGTGTCGGTGTAGTTGTATCTGTGTGTTAATGTGCATGTATATCTGTGTATGTGGTAGTGTATGTGTATACATCCAAGCAAACATCAGCACGACATACAAACACACTCCTGCATTTTAACACAAATATTACACAAACACACCGCTGATTTCAAACTCCAAAATGATATACAAACCCTTCACTCAAATAAAAAAACTTCACACAAATGCACATTTACATTTAACCCCTTAAGGACACATGACATGTGTGACATGTCCCTTTTATCCCTGAAGTTTGGTCCTTAAGGGGTTAAAAGTGAACAATACATTCAAACACACCGCTGCAATCAGACGCAAACATTACAAACAAACACACCCCTGTATTAAAACACTAAAGCTGTGTACAAGCAACACTGTACATTATACTATAGAACCAGTATATGCCGCAGCACTGTACAAATATACAACTTAGATATTCTGACTTGGGGTGCCTTGGAAAAATATTGAAATATTAACGGCGCCTTGAACCTGAAAAAATTGTGAGCCACTTGATTATAGCCAGGGTAATAACCACTTGTATTGTAACTAGCCTCGGTAAATCGGTGGATCCAAGTTACAGTTTGTGACCCTTTGTGACTGGTAGTGGATATTAGGAATTGAATCGGTGATTGGTACATGTTAATGGGATTTACAGTTCACAGTGAGAGATCACTTGATTTCTGCTCCCAACCTTGTTATGAGCCTTTGCAGATAATATGGAATAATTTACTTTGTAGTATATAACAGTAACTGTAGCACCAAACATCTATCACCATTTTACCAGAGCTTAGTGAATCAGACTAGACACAAACAGAGGTAGAGAGGTGTCAATGCCCTAAACAGTTTAGATAATTGCACAGCCTACAATGTTTAACTTATTGGTATCACGATGTTGCAGTGAGCCCTAGAGACATGCAATATAAAATGTTGTAAACGGTAATAATTTGGGAGGTTTCACACCATGTAAGGGTGTTTGGTCTACTCAGCAAACCAAGACAAAAACGGGGCAAATAAATAATACCGCACTTTACTGCAAGTCCGTACAACCTATAACCTAACAAATACTTAAAAACACAAAAGTAAACATTTTAGAGAATAGCTGAACTGATGTGTAGCAGTGTTTAAAGGAACACTTCAAGCACCATAACCACTGCAGCACACTGCAATGGTTATGGTGTCACAAGTGGCGCCTCATACATTGTGCATTTTGAGCGGTTTGTCTTATTACCTGGGGCTCACGGGGCACTGATTCCCGCCTCCACTACTAACACTGAAGAGTCAATAGTCCATAAGCAGGAACATCCGCTATCTCTCCCTGGGCTATGGTTAGCTGGCAATGATCAGTGTCTATCAAATTAATTTAATTAAAATTGCATCTAAGATCTAAAAATAACTGCAAATGAAAAAAACAACAACTACAAAATGTTTGATCTTTGGAAACCCTAAGAGTCTGTTTTACTAGAATTTGAAGGAATACTTCAGCATTTTCATTAGATGTAAATATGTAATTTAACAAGTAAGGTCCCTTCTAAACCAAAGAGCTTGCTATCCATGCATGTTATAAAAGCTTACAAATATATGAAGGGGTTTTACAAAGTAGGATTATCTCCTTTTACATAGCAGAGCTAATTAGCGCAGAAGGACATACCTGGAAGGTAATGAATTCGTGGAATTTAAGGCCTATATCATGACACAATTTTACTATAAGTAGGTGTGTGGGACAGACTTTCAGCAGAAGTAGTAGTTATTTATACAATGTGGGATATGCCATTTGCGTTGGTCAAACCGGATGATCACAATATATCTCTGAAAAAGACGTATATTTCTGATAAAAAGTGAATGAAAACTGACAAAAATTACTAATGGTTCACTGAGATTCAGTTTATCAAACTGTCAATATCTGCAAAGTTTATACAAAGATTGTAGGAGAACATGACGCCTCAAGTCCAGAGTAGAAATTCATTAAGTTTACAGAATTAAAGGACTGGAACCCACAAATTATATGGACATTGTTTAGAATAAAATCCCTACATCCTATTATTGCTTCTTTATTTTTGCATTTTGTTAAAGTCCTAGCTGATACAAAGTTCTTAAGAGTAAGGGAACACGCTGACAAATTAATATGCGTGCCTTGAGGACTTGGTCAGAACTGACCTGTGCCATCAAGGGTGCGAATATCTTGATCCCTCTGTAGCCTTCACTATGTCATTAAAGGGACATTGTAAGTACTGTATCTGCTTGGAGGAAAGACGAGACAGGGGGGATATGATAGAAACATTTAAATATATAAAGGGAATCAACACAGTAAAGGAGGAGACTATATTTAAAAGAAGAAAAACTACCACAACAAGAGGACATAGTCTTAAATTAGAGGGACAAAGGTTTAAAAATAATATCAGGAAGTATTACTTTACTGAGAGGGTAGTGGATGCATGGAATAGCCTTCCAGCTGAAGTGGTAGAGGTTAACACAGTAAAGGAGTTTAAGCATGCGTGGGATAGGCATAAGGCTATCCTAACTATAAGATAAGACTAGGGACTAATGAAAGTATTTAGAAAATTGGGCAGACTAGATGGGCCGAATGGTTCTTATCTGCCGTCACATTCTATGTTTCTATGTTTCTATGTTTCTATGCTTCACCTCATTAAGCTGGTTATTGTATCTGTAGTCCCCGTTGCTGTAATTTTATTCAGTGTTAAACAGTTTTAATTGTTTTAATGTTAACGAGAACCACCAGCAGCCCATCCCATCTGAGCTGCTAGGGTCCATGAGGAATTGTTAGCCTGAGCAACAGTGGGTGGCTGTGATTGGCTTAGATTATCACAACTCTCATTGCTAGTAAGAACTGGTATGGCTGCAAGGAAGTGTGTAATATCTGCCTTAGCAACACCTCCAATAATCCTAATTTAGTCTTAAAGTTCTCAAAAATTATTTAACATTGAATGTAGGGCCAGTGCCAGGCGACTCAAGGTACTATAACCACTTCAATGAGATGGAATGGTTGTAGTATCTAAAGCGTCCCTTTTAATGTTTAGAAATTGGAAGCACCATGGGACAGATTTTTACAGCTACGTGCTCTACAACCTACTTGCAGGCACAATAAATTGGTTTATTTGTTTATTTGACTGGAATATGACTATTATGAAGGCATTCGCCCGGGGCGGAGGTATTAGAAAGGACACCGTCCCTGGAAGGTGGAGAGGTGTGATCTCTTACAGTCTGTCAGGTTAGCTTACCACGGTAAGGCTACTATCACTTAGTCCTCTGAGCTTTCCTGAATACCGTGCATACTTTTCAGGAATGGAAAGAGAGGAGTGGATAGAAAAATATATCTGTATCCTCGGGAATGTAAGTCTGGTCCAATAAAGCAAAGCCTATCTTGTCAGAATTCCTCTGCAATGCACTGTAATTATAACCAAAAATTCACCTTTTCTGACATCGTTTTTTTCCCTAACGTTCTTTATCTTTCACATAAAACAGCTCTGCACAGTTCCAAAAGCATCAGCTGGTGCAAAATTAAGCTTGCTCATAAAACAATCTGCCAACTATAGATCTATGCCACATGTCAACCATTGGAGTCTTGGATTCTCAAGGAAAAAGAGGTAATATGTAAAGCAGAGATACGAGGGTCTGTAAATCAAGAGTCTCTCAATGTGGGGGTCACGTCTTTTCTCACTGGGGACCTGTTTATTTATAAATAATGAAAGTGTCCTGGGAATTAAAGGTACGTGTCTTAAAATCTATTAATGCTATTGTATCTTTAATGTCGGCTGCCCTAGGACTTTACAGTGATCCCCAATACTTGCTGTACCTTCCGGAGCAGAAACCAAAAGCACTTTACAATAGAATACTTTGGTTTCCCAGAATTAAAGGCAACTAAAAAGGATTTTTTACACAACTTCAGATATCTGTGAACTTAACTAAATAGATTTTTGCCTTCTTAACCCGTAAATAAGTGGAAACCAGGCTGCTAAGATTTCTTGGCAAATTTAAAAGAAGAATCCAGAGGCATGGCCTAAATCAATGTATTGAATACCCAAGTTTAAATTTGTTAGATCGGTATTTCAGCTCTGCTTGGAGTAGTCACACATCACATTACTCAGGCTCTAATTCTCGCTAGGGCACACATAGTTAAAATTAACAGGTAAGAGAGTAACAAAGTACCAATTCATCTAAAATAAACTCCAAATAAGGAGAAGCCACAATTACAATAAAAACTGGAAAGATTATTTTCAACTGCTTCTTAGATCTAGCAAATAAAACATGTGTAATGATTTCCCTATGTGTAGAAGTGACCCGTGCTAATTTCAGTTGACTTGACTTTCTCATTATTTTACCACATTCCAGATGTTGCTCGGCTCCAAAAGATGAAGGTTTTGGTTGAAAACATAATGCTCTCTCTCTCTCACTCCGTATTACAGTAGTTTGTTAGATGAATGAAATCCCTGTATGGCAATAGTAAGAATATATCTTTACCAAAGTATTAAGAAGGGAATATGTGCTATAAAAAAATATTGACTTTGTTAGTGAGTACTTAGTGTGAATGTTCCATTATGAGAAGGGAATGTGATGTGTTTGTTTCATTTTAGAACACATCGTAGTCTGTTGGCTAAACAGCTAATTGCGGTGAGTATTGGCCTGCAAAAGGCTAAGAGTGTAGAACATGAAAAATCTCTAGTTCAGTTAAAATTAGAGAATGTATTTTTTGCTAAAATGATGAAGAACACCCAGGAGTAACCAAACCAAATGATCAATCAATGAGATGTTAGTCATGGGTCTTCATATAGTGCGGTGCATAATTTTGAGGTGACAAAGAAGTACTCATGGTATACGTGAGGCTTCTATAAACCACGATTACACACTATGGATAAAGTGTACTAAGATTATAGCTATACAGCACACACAGATTGAGAATTCTCTGACACTGCTGTGATTCATGAAAGAATATATATGGGTTATCGATGCATTGAAGAATGTTTCTTAACTGCATGAAACTCGGTGGTGAGCTAAACCTCAGGACCAATGTGGTATTTGGCAATTGAAAAGTCATGGTTTGCCGAGCTTGTTCAAGCTGCTTTCATAAACAACCACTTCTCTAATATTACCTAATCAACTTGCTGAGTCCCAGTCTATACAGCCCCTATACTCTACGCACACTCCTAGAATCGTACAATTCCTGATACAAGGAAGTAGTTCGTAAAAGCTCCTACTGAGCCCCGTAACTGGCCAATGACCTACTAGACAACCTCAAATCCTCCATGAGCCTGCAATCTCTTAAGAGGACTCTCAGTATCTCCAAGCAAATCAAATGTGAAATGTACTGTTGTGCATTTCAGAACATTCTTGCAAATCAAAGAGATTTCAATGTACTCTTCTTTGTAAAATATTTCTAAACTGAGAAACAAACAATCAAATAAATAAACATACACACAGGAGAGATGATAACATGGAATGTTCCTACCATGATACTCTCCTCTAGTCTTTAATGATTTAAGAAGTCCCTCAAGCCCACCAGAATAGCCTCTGGCCTCCCAGAATAACTGTTATTTTACAAACCTATCTCTATTGCAAATATTGTTGTTTTTGCTGGGGAGTTGGGACAAAGCTGCACCAGAATTTATCTTTCTGAATCTCTAAGATGAGAATTGTTGCTAATGGTCTAACTCAGACCCCCTTAGTGAACCCTAACTTCCATTCTAACACCTCATAACGTGGTTATATCATTTAACACTATAACCAAACGCTTGTATTTACTGTCTGCAATAATCTCTGTGCTCTAAAATCCCTCCGGTGCTGCCAATTGTGTCACCTTTAACACTAGAGTCTTTTAAAAACAATACAAAATATGTACATCGAAGTAGAAATCTATGGTAAAGCGAAACAACATAAAGAACAGATAGTTCTTCGCTTGCCAAAAGTTAATTAGCCATCTGTTTTGGCTATTACGACATGGCAATAATAATAAAAAAACGTTCAAACAGAATAATATTTAGTGAGGGATCACACAGAAGGAATGTTTGTCTGTTTTGTGGTATGCAAGCCACAGAATTTATAAACCACTACAAAACTGGCTGCAGGCTTGATATAACAATGAAGCCATGTCATTTATTCAATCTGATGGTACAACATATTTCTCGTTTGACATATTGGTGCTAAGGTCGGACTTTCATATTAAAATATCAACCGTTTAATAAGGTTTAAAGAAAGGGCAGAACAACATCTCCCAAATACTGAGGATCTTTCCCAACACAGATTTTAACATCACTGTGAAAACGACTTTTACTTTTATATTGGATTGAAATGTGAGAAGTATTTTACTTTAACTGAATTGATTTCAGGAGTAGCTGAGTGAACAATGTTTAAAGTGCCACTCCACTGCCCAAATACAAAATAAATTAAAATCACGGTTTAGCTAGTCAATATACCCCAAATGAAACCGTGCATGCATTTAATTACGCATTTTTTTTTATTGGGGATATACCTAAAATCAGGTTACAAAACCAACAGTTCTCTTGTCTGCTCCCTTTGCAAGTTTTCCTCTTCTAATCCCGCCCAGACTTTCTGTGGCTGTCCAATCACAGACTTCCCAATGCAGCTCAATGAGAAGTCTTTGTCAGTCAGGTGCTCTGGGCCATTGCTGCCTCTTGAAGTCAGCTGCATTGCGCTAACAAAACCAGGAAGTAATATTACCTGCCGTTTGCTTGAAAGCCAAGGGGGTGTAACCAGGTACATTTTTGAAAGTGTAAATTCTTACTGGAATCTGCACTTTTTGCAAAATGAAAAAAGAGCACACACACTTCACACATGCTAAAGTTGTTTAATGGTCTGGAGTGACCCTCATTTACTTAGCAGAACCAATAGACTACCACTCAAAGGGAGAAGGGACAAGTCATTAAGATGGCAGCTCCCCCTAGCAAGCAGAACGTGGATTCTTAATATGCGCATGTTGTAATTCAAGCTACGAGAAGCATTATATTTATATTATTTATTTTTGCAGTGCTTAGTGAGACATTCAAGCGTATACATACATTTTGATATGAATAGATGAGTTTTGAAGCAAGATTGTCATAAAATGTCAGAGATACAGCACTTTTTTATATATAACAGAAAATAACGAGTGTGAGTCATGGAGAACAAGATAGATTAAGTAATTTTTAGGCTAAGTCAATTGACAACACAAGGAAAAAGGCAGTGTGGAACCACCAAGAACATTTAGACTGAATTCACATTATTTGCTCAGGCTGGTAGAGTAGAAGAGGTAAATATGCTTGACTGAACAGGAAGAGATAGATAAATAGATAGATAGATAGATAGATAAAGATAAGGAACTCTGATGCAATAACATAGAAATTCAGAGCAGCAGGCCACTCATCCTCAGCTTACAGATAGAGTCAATGCAGGTGTAAAGGGTGAACGAGGCCTCCCTGATATCTCGCCACAGCCTTATGGACACAGGCTCCCTCTCCTACAGCCAGGCCAAGTCCCTGTGATGCAGGGACCTCGTGTGGTCCACTGATTCTGCTTAGGTCTCCGTATGGAAGGGCGTCTTCGAAATCGATCTGTGCTACAGGAGCTGACAATGTAGATTACCTCTTCTGTCTCCATAGGTTCCCCCAGAACCGCTTACATATATCGTCAAATGTGCGAAAGAAGCCATCCACACAGCTCTGCATGCCTGTACATCATGCTTTGCAGCAATGCCACTGTCAGCCATTTTTGCCAGTTACAAAAGGTTGATGAACAGGATATTAATATCCTCAGAAGAACATAGATATCAAGATGTATCGGGAGCTCATGCTGTGTCCTCTCAGCATGGCGTTCAAGCCCCATCTCGTAGAACCATTATATTTACATTTTAAGTAAGGTGTGATGTAAAACTTACAGTCCAAGTAATTACCTGGTCATCTTTAAACTCTATAGATTCTTATATCTCCTTGTAGAGCAGCAGATATGTTGTTGCATTTTAAATATAGATGAACATTGTTTGGGTTTCTCAAGAGAAAAGTCATAGGACTATCTATATCTTCTAAAATGACCTAAACATCTAAATTATGGGTGTCCAACCTTTTGGCTTCCCTGGGCCACATTGAGTGAAGAGGAATTTTCTTGTGCCGCACATAGAATATATAATATAACTAAGTTATAAAATATATAATTAATAGAATTACCGCAGTCCATTCTTTTAAATACTTGGGTATGTTGTTAGACCACAATCTATCTTTTGGCCTCTACATAGCAAAACTTTCATCAAAACTTTATCCAAAACAAGGTGCCCTGTACAGAAACAAATCCTGTCTAAGCCCTAAAGTAAAGGAAAAGATTGTACAGCAAATGCTGATGCCAATCATTGATTATGGGGATGTAGTATATGCACCTGCACCGCAAACCCACCTTAATAAACTCAATACATTGTATAACTCGTTCTGCCGATATATGCTACAATGTAATTATAGGACTCACCATTGTGACATGTTATAAGAGTTAAACTGGTTATTGCAGGAATCCAGACGCACCCTTCATCTTACCAGCCTTGTGTTTAAAAGCTTTTCTGGGAAGCTCCCACCCTACCTGAGCAGAATGCTCTCCTCAGCTGTTCCCACTTCCTATAACCTCCAATCCAATACCAGCACTTTATTTAGTCTACTTCAATACAAAAAGAAAGCGGCCCGATCCTCCTTCTCCTACAGAGCGCCGCAATTATGGAACGACCTCCCGCACACTTTCAAATCTTCCCTAAGCCTAAAGTCCTTTAAGAGATCCCTCTCTACATACATCAAAACAGAATGCACCTGTCATGGTTGATATATATCTCCTACCTGTTCTATGTTACATTGTGTACATATTGTGTATTAATATTTTTTTTTTATTTTATTGTACCCTAATGTAACAATGCAATGATTTGTGGACCCAGGACATACTTGAAAATGAGAGAAATCTCAATGTATCCTTCCTGGTAAAATATTTTATAAATAAATAAATACATTTGTATAATAAAGCTTAGAAAGCATTTTCCTTCATTTTAATATTTCATTTATTTCTGTAGATAGATCCCTTATTTGTTATCCTTATGTGGGATTGTCATATACCAAATTAGGGAGCTATCTACTAAACATATACACATTCCAACAGATATACACATACACACACAATCATAGATATATATATGCACACACACATTTAAACACATACCTATACACACACACACACAATCACAGACATACACACACTGCAGGGTGCAGGCAGGAGGATTGGACACGCCTGATCTAAATGATATCCACAGTAGGAAAGCAAAAAAAGAACAGAGGAATGGAGGAAATATATGTGATGAGATGGGTAGGGAGTAGTGATGTCCCGAACGTTCGCCGAACGGTTCGCCACGGACGGCGAACATATGCGCTGTTCGGTCCGCCCCCTGTGTCATCATTGAGTAAACTTTGACCTGGACAGCATCCATTTTACATTCATTGTAAAGCTGCATTCTTAGTGAGCTGTCCAGGAGGTGGGGGATCTGGGAGGGAGGGTCTGCTGCTGATTGGCTGGAATGTGTCTGCTGACTGTGAGGTACAGTGCCTTTCTGCCACTTTCATGTTGCGTCAGGTTACCCCTATGTGCAGCGTCACTCCGTGGCACATGGTGACGTCGGTGACGTGGTCACTCAATGCCACTTTATGAAATCAGTGACGTGGTGACGTCAGCGCCGTAATCCCTTGATTCTGTCTCTCACACTCGCTATTGCCGGGCATTTCTTCCTAAACTGTATCAGTCACAAGCAGGGCAGACATGGTAATCACCATTTTAGAATGGGGTAGCAGTTCATAATAAGAACGATAATTAGTCCAATGTTTTCCAAATCTCATTTGTTATAGGATAAACATTTTATTAACATTGATTTGGCTATTTCCTGTCCTAATTTGTTTTATATCCCACCTCCTATAGACTGTAAACTCGTTTAAACAGGGTCCTCTTATAGTTAAATCCCCCCTCTCATAATATTGTAAAGTGCTTCGGAATCTGTTGGCGCAATATAAATGGCAATAATAATAATAATAATTATTATAATAATATAGAAGCTAAGCATTCCTAGTATTTTATAATATCTAAACCTGACACAACACGGAAGTAACTGTGGAGCGCAGAAAAGTGCGAAAATTAATTTCTGATTTATACATAAGAGAACTGTATAGGTTGAAACGCATTGTGCTCAGAATTTCATTCCAATACTCTGCTGCTATTTTTCCTGGTCTGTTTATTTTATTTATGTTCAGTTTGTTTGTGAATTTACATTAGGGAAAACGTTTTACCTGCTCACAACTGAAATACAGAATAATCAGGAGGTGTACCATATGTAGGATTTAAATATAACTCACTGTGTGCTGGTGATCACTATTACACCCCCTTCTCTCCTCTTTGTACTATTTTGTGATTTTATTGTCTTGTGAGTGGTTAGAGACACTGGGGGCAATTTATCTAGTGCCAATCCACCCATATCCCATTTGTGGGATATTTTTCTTGTTTCACTTGTACTTTTATTTTAATAGTTGAATGTTTTGGAAACACGGCTTCAAGCCTTCTGGATAGGGCAGCTGGGACCATTACATGCTCAGTCCTGGATGACATCACACAATTCCTAATGCTATAGAGTCCTTTTAATAAATAACATTCCTTAAAGGAAATGTTATTCAACTACCGACTGTTCTAGCATGGTTTGACAACTTACCTGGATCCTCCTGGGTACCTGTGCCCCATCCACCTCATTTGGCCATCCGAGCAGGACCATCAGCTAAATGCCGACGATTGTGGTGACATCCAGCTTCTGCTGATGCAGTGTGGCCGCTCGAGAGATCAGGTAATAAGCCAAAGTGTACTATAAAGGTTTGACATCTTTCTATGGGATGTACCTGGACACTCCTGGCATCATAACCACTACAACACAGATATCTGCTTTGAAAATGCTACAAAATTCCAACAAAAGACATTCCTTCTATACTTTTGTACAAGAACATGTGTTGCCATGGAGCCTACATGCACTGTACCAAGGGAGTAAAACAAACTTAGATCTCACATAGGATGGTAACAAAAAAATTTACTTTTTAAATAAAAATAAAACAAAAGGCTCAGCTAGCTTCCAGCTAGCTAATGAGCTTTGCCAAAATTAGCTAAGTGACCGCGCCGTTTCACGTTTACATTACCGGATCCCAGACTCCCCTTCTAGAATAATGAGCTGTTTCTAATTAAGTATCTCATGCCATATTTTACATAAAATTTTTCAGGAATGATTGAATTCCATTCCCAATTACCGCCGGTATTCACCTTCTAATTATGTTTGCTGAGCTCTAATTGGCTCCATACGCTGTTTGTTCATGTTTGTGTATTGTTAAACGGTGCCAAACAGATTCAGTGAGTAACTGGACTCCCGGGATGGCTGTGTTTAGCTGCATACAGAACATATTTCCGAAATTATGTCAAGGTACCTGGGGACTCCTGGATGAAAAAAATGTGCTGTGGGAACGCAGCATTTAATCATTTTTCTCTCTTTTTTTTAAGAAAATGTGCTTCATTTTTTTCCTGTCTCGTTGTTTCTCTGTAATTGATACATTGGAGTCATTGCTGTTAAACGTTAACCCTATTGGCAATGATTTCCAAGCTTCGTGTAGGTGGGCTTCAGAAAAATAGCTCTCTTTTGTCTCGTTAAAGATTTTGCCTCTGGGCAAAATACAAACCAGAGTTAGTGTAGATGGTTTTAAATACACATTAGCATAGGGCTCACTTTAGATCATTGACATTGGCAGGTGAGCTATAGCCATGTAATGGTGCGAAAAACCTGGGTAACCTAAGTTGTTTTGTTGGTTTGTACACTGGGGCTGAATACTCTAGACCTTTGGCACTCCTGATGTTTTGGACTACATCTCCCATAATGCTATTACAAATTTTGATGGCAAAGCAGCAAGGAGGATGTAGTCCACAATATCTGGAGTGCTGAAGGTTGCCTACCCCTGCTCTAGCCTATGTAGCCATCTGAGATTGATGAGCGTTTGAGTGATGGGTTAATATTGGCATCTTTATTTGCGTTCAGAATTTATGGGAACCTTGTAATAAATTTAAATAAAAAAGAACCAATACAATATGATAAATATCAGAAAAAGTTAAAAAATAAAGAGGAGAAGTCTAATAAAACACAGATGAAAATATTTTTTGTTAACACACATTAATAAAAAAAATTGTCAGAAAAACACATGGCAGATATGTTTAGTAATTTTGCTAATAAAAAAAACTGCTTTATTCTGCAAGTTTAATAGAACACTTACCAGACTTTAAATATCTTGAAAAGGGTTAAGCTGCAGTTGTCCTCAAATTCATCCCCTTCACCCCCAAATAGCATGAGAGCATCAAGCCTTACCTGCTGGTTCAATCAGCGGAATGATCTCTCTGCTCTATAAATTCTCTCTTTAGAGCCGGAGGAGAATAATTTTTGCTTGGAACAAGGAACAAAATGCTGGCAAAGTAAAGTGAAAGATACACGGATGAGGTCACGGGACTCCCCTGAGCTCAGTTTTCCTTTTGCTACACTCATCCCATCATCACTGCACAAAGTGACCCTTTGCAATGTACATGAGTCTATTCTCGTCTACTAAGTTATGCAACATTAGCCCTTATCTGTAGTTTATGTCGAGAACTAATGGTGGGGATTTCATAGCATTTCTTTAACCCTTTGATTGCCAGAGGAGTGCACGTAAGCAATGCATTTATCTATGAGATTATTTTGGAAAACCTATGATAACACGGCAGGTGATCTGTTTTTTTTTTAGTTTCACTGAAAGGGTTAATACACGTGAACGGTAAAATTCATCAAATAATGATAGCTGGCAGTTTGTAATAATATGACGAAAGGGATTTTTTTTTTAACCTAAAGGGCAGACCCTTTGAGATTCATTTTGAGTCTTCGTTGTGCTTGAGATAAAGAAAACAGGATATAATTCTCTCCGATTAGTCACAGCTTTTTAAAAATAGACAATAGTTTTCTATTGCCGTTTATTATAAATAGGTTTTGTAAAGGTCAAACAATAGAATACAAGCTTTACATCTTTCTGATTTGATTAAGTAAGCATTACTTTTATTTGATATTTTATTATACCTTTGTTATCCTGTCAGCCTCTATGTAAACACCCAACTTGTCCAAAGTCGATGTATGTACAGGTGATGTTTAAATTCTGTCAACCATAAAAACCAAAACATTACTTTAGTATTGGATATGAAAAATCGCAATGGCGCAAGATTCCTGAATATTGCAGGGAAACCACTGAATTCTAAAATCCAGGAAATACAAATAGCCATTAGACAGGTTAATACGTTTTATATTGTTAGACTTTTTGTATACTTAGATTGTTATTATTGAAACTTTTCCATACGTCTTATCTCCACCCCAAGGTGAACTACCCAACCAATTTCCAAAAACATTGAACTTAGTTTAGCCATTGCGGCCTTGTCTCCATGAACTGATAGAAGCAGGGAAAAAACAACAACATGAATTACATAAAGAACAGACCAATGAGAACATTGATTATTCAAAATGGCTGCCCGTATGGCTAGAGTCACCTGACAGGTTGCTTATAGTATTTACTGAAAAGATAAACGATAAACGATAAACGATAAACCCAAACACATCTAACCTAAGCTGGAGATACTTGACTGACACTGGTACTATGTAGCACACATGGTGGTTATGTGGTAAGATGCAACCTTACAGTGCATGGTAGGGGAAGAAATTTCACACCGGATCTCACCAAACATAGAAACATAGAAACATAGAATGTGACGGCAGATAAGAACCATTTGGCACATCTAGTCTGCCCAATTTTCTAAATACTTTCATTAGTCCCTGGCCTTATCTTATAGTTACGATAGCCTTATGCCTATCCCACGCATGCTTAAACTCCCTCACTGTGTTAACCTCTACCACTTCAGCTGGAAGGCTATTCCATACATCCACTACCTTGACAGTAAAGTAATAATGTACAAATTACACCAGAAATGGTCTTGAGAGTGAGAAAAAAAAAGGAAAGTTGTGATGTGTACCAAGTGGATGTCTAGCTTCAGAAAAAGTCCACTTGGGCCTTGATTTAATAATTTGAATAAACATTTAAAATAATTTTATATAAAAATATATAAAATTATATATATTTATATATATATATATATATATATATATATATATAATTATGTAGGAAAAAGATGCACTCTTCGGCCTTTTTGAAGAAAAATAACAGTCTTTAATCCATAAAAGGTTTACAAGTTGCTGATCAACGTTACGACCCGTTCGGGTCTTCCTCAGGATCAACATGTAAACATAAAATCAGAATATATATAGGAAAAGATAAAGTGTACTCACCAATTGTTATTAAATCCCTCATCCCTTCAATCCGAACCCGGAAGTGAGAACATGTGCTGCATAAGCAGAGACACCACATAAGTAACATACCATTCACTGAGAGAGTCTCCCAATGTCAATATTACTAAAATGAAAGATTGATTACATAGCTTGTATCAATAGCTGTCAGTCCGCAGTATCTGAAGCCAAGCAGCAAAAGGTTCACAAGAGCAATATCATTAAACGATACCAGGAATACAGAAGGAACCAGGCCAAAGGAGTATACCCCCAGATAAGCAGTGCAACATATCATATGTGAAAATAATTAATTAAAATACATTATACATTATTGGCTAATGTGTTCAACGCTGATAACATACCGTTTAGATATGTGTGTGTTTGTGTGTATATATATATATATATATATATATATATATAAATTTATTTTAAAAAATCTAAATATTAAAAAGAATTAGAAATATTAAAATATTTGAAAAACGTATTAAAAAACATTAAGTATAGGCCATAATTGGAAGAAATAGAGGGGAACAATGACAACTTAGATTTGGGGGCAAGTACAAATGGATGATTTTTTTGTGTGTAAAACCCACATATCTCTGTTTTATGGTCCTATGTACAAGGAGCATGCGATATACAGATTTCACAGATGGAGGCTACATAACCACTGCAGACCCCACGAACCGCCACAGCTTGGTTGGTCTCCACCCACTCTGGACCCAAGACCAGGGTCCAGATTCCAGTATGTCTACCTCTCTGAATTCCAGAGAGCAGGAACAGGAACAAGCTCTTAGCAGAGCTTAGTGATTATACCCTGGGGAGTATAGTGATTATAGCAATCCATTGAGTGTAGTTCTCAAATCCCCCAAACATGAGCCGAAACTTCATGGAGGTACAAGATGATCTGACTCCAATGATCGTTTATTACTCTTTATATACAAGTTTTCAGGCCAGAGGCACACCCCCTGGACTTGGTGGTAAACTGTGACAAAAGGGACACAAACCAATGGGAACACTAATTAACATAATAACACTCCCACATACACAATGAAATCCCTCCTCTTCATCCTGGAGATAATTGGCTTAAGGCACTGCATTAAACTCAATTATCTCCAGGTACAGAAAATATCTACATTTTACACTAACAGCAAAAATACGTAAAAGTACATAAAAATACATAATTATTATTATATTACACAGAACCCCCACATTTAACCTATCCCCAGATAGCTTGGATATGAGCGCCCAATCTAGGTGAACAGCGCTCAGATCCCATGAACAAAGTAAATTTGCCATGGGGGTTAGAGTTTTGGGGAAGCCTCTTTTGAACGACCGCACGCAGGATTTCCTGCCCAAAACAGTTCCACAGAGTTTGGCTGTGCGGCCAGTCTATTTCCAATGTTAAAGTCAGTTCACATAGAAAAAAATGACTAAGTCCCATTTGAATGCATGAACGGGCCCCGTTCGTGCAAGTAGCACAGTGTAACATGGCATTCGAATTGTCGAACGCACTTTGACTTTAGCTGAAGCGTCGAAGTGGAGGAGAAGGTCAGGGTCAGCGGTGTTCATGCACAAATGTGTAGCCGATTTTAGTTCCATGGATTCAGGGGCACACACAGCTTCGTTTGTCGAATGGCGGCCACTTCGACTACTTCGGCACTTTGGCTGCATCCGAAGTGCCATATAAAAAGTACCAATCCTTCCCTATAGCTCTTAAAGGGCCAGAAGTAGTGAAATAAAATCTGATATGGCCAAATAATGTTTTTAAAGGGCAACATCTCCCCGGTGTCATAGTCATGAGGAAGGAGGCTGGCAATCAGGCTCCTCCAACAGCCAGGGGCAAAGGGCAGCTTGTCACCTAAAACTCCAGTGACAAAAGGCATTTCGTCACAAATAGATTTATGAATTTCTCTGCCATTCTTTTTCTGACAGAAAGGTGTTCTGTTTCACTTCTCATTCTCCTACCACGGCGTAAATGTATCAGTCTTCTTAAATTGAAATTTCTGCAAAACAAAAGGCAGAATTTACTACAAATAAAACTGTCACTTTGTAGATCACTTTAATAAACACAATCAAAATAATATTGGACATTAACCATCAGTTTTCTGAATATTTTGATAAATATCACATAGGGTACATGGTGGTGCTTGTGCAGTTACAACACACAAGATCGAGCACACTTACTCATTCACTAAACAGCAAGTCTCCCAGATTGTAATAGTTTTATTTAAAAACACCTAATCTAGGCAAAAATAATGGGGGTTTAGTTACATTACATGATCATACATTGCATAAGCCTTCCTCAACGTAAATTTTCCACCATTCTTGTCCGGTTTTACTCAGGTCCTACTCATCTGCTCTTATGAGATGAATCCACTTACTTGGGAAATGCTTCCTCCTGGGACTGTCTTTAGGACAAGGTTAAAAAGGGTCCTGGAATGAGGCACCTGCATTTACAGTCTTAACAATGAATTGTGGTGCACTGATGGCATTTTGGTCTATCCGTGCTCAATGTGCCTAGAGGGATATCAGCTTCACCTGACTGACGAGGCCCAAAAGAAGCATGGAACGATCGTCTGGGGTTGCTGTATCTCTCGTGCAGAGGAATCCTTCTGCCATTTTGTATCTGGACTGCCCGTACTGGTGGGGCCAGTATGATATGCATCAGAATATGTTCTCTCTGTAATGGCACAAGTGAGCAAAAGTTATTTTGAGACCTGAGCGGGGATGTACCGAAGGGCGAACTACCGAGTTTCTCTCAGCTTTTGTCCGTTCTCAGAGTTCTCATATTCTTTGTTTATTTAAAATCACCTCACCTACGCAAAAATAATGGGGTTTAGTTACAGCATATAAGCCTTCCACAACGTCAATGTACCCCATTCTTGGCAGGTCCTACTCTAGCACCTAATGTCTGCTCTTATGAGATTAACAAACTTACTTGGGAAATGCTTCCTCCTGGGACTCCCTTTAGGACAAGGTTAAATAGACACTTGGAATGGGGCACCTTCA